GACGTAGAGCACTGACATGATCAGGGGGATCATCAGCAGCTGAAAACATAAACAAACAATATGTTAATACAAACAGCATCAACAACACAGCTGTGTAATCAAAAACGTTATGGGTGGTTTTTGAAAAGTGGCATTGAAAATGAAGGGCTTATTGTGAGAAGCCTGACAACCTGATTAATGCGTTTCATAATGCTTACACTAATATGATCAGATAAAGTCGAGACTGGTTTAAAAGCTACTTGTTTTTTATTCTCGAGTGATATAAACACTCTTTGTAAAGTAAAAATGACATCTACGATGCATTATGATTTCTAACATTTGCGAGAGGTGTTTCTTAGCTTACTTTTATTGCAATGCATTTAAAAAGTTTTAGTTAAACCTTCAGTTTAACTGGCCCTCTTTATTATGTGAGACTCAAGTGATAAGTGCAGACTATTTTTATGTTTTATAAACAGTATATTGGTCATAATTTGATGTTGTGGTATAAATACAGAGAGGAGAATTCTCACCTGCATGTTCATCAGCATCCCGGTTATCTATAGTAAGAGTCAAGGTCAACACAATACAATACAGCTGGAGCCTTCAGATTAGAACATCTGAGGACTTGAGGGTTGCCAGGTCCAATCCCAACAATCGGCCGGCGGTCACCCTCCAATTCGGCCTCTCCACCTCCCACAACTGACTTTCCTCCCCCCACCTTTTCCCACAATTTGCCAGTACAATACAAGCTGAACACTTGGTTTAGATTGAAGGAAAACAGGATCTTGTCCAAATTTGCCGCATACAATTTCTGTATCTAGGCGAGGCAAGCTGACAATGGAAGCTGAACACAAAGACAGCGTTGAGATGTGGGCTGGGTTGTGCCGAGTGTGACCTAGATTAGGTTTCTCTGCTCTGCAGGGGTAGACTGACACTGGGCCACTGGCACAGAGCCACCCTGACATGGCACAGTGCTGCAGAGAGAAAGGGGGGACACACACACACACACACACACACCGATGAGAGAGAAATGCAGCGGGGCTAATAAGGCAGCAGAGAGCTAGGATCGATGGTGGGGAGGAAACCAAGCTGTGACCTTAGAGGCTGAAGGTAGATTGCAATTCATCATTTAAAAACAAGAGGTTTTTAAATGATGAATTGATAAGTGTGACAAAAACAGTTCTGGTGCTTTGTGGAACCAGTTTAAAAAGGATACAACAATGCAGATCCAGTTGAACAGGAGCATGAAGATGTAGTCTGCAGGTCTGCCATCAAAAGCCCCTGGAGAAGAAAACAGAAAAAAAGTTTAGCAAGACAGTTTGTGTGTGTGTGACTGCATGTGTGTAAGCACCGGGGCCAGGCTTACCTGTCTCTAGCCGACTAGAATAGTGGTAGAGGAAATAGAGGTTGACCAGGTACAGGAACCCAGTATTAGGGGTTATTGGGAAATACAAGGTAGCAGTCAGTGGTCTCCAGAGCTGAAACAAACAGAAGAGACATAAGTATAATGTGGTCAGACATAAACATAGCTGTGTGTGTGTGTGTGCAAGGATCCAGACTTTAAAGGGTAAGACAAATGACATCTCATGTGGATTGTAGATAACTTCTAAGCAGAGAAAAAGTGGCACCAGACTCCAGCTGGAGTTCCTCTGAACAGTGTTACCTCACAGGTAGATTCAAAGGTTTTGTTTGATGCCGATCAGATCGGAATGTAACTAAAGGCTGAGCCTTTTCTGTGTTAAATCACTTTTAATCAAGGGATATCATTACAATATTCGATAGAGAAAAAGGTATCTAGTGTAATTTTCTGTTGAAAATATTTGTTAAAATTCAACTCATCTTTTCAGTGCTTAACAACCAAAATTGGCAAACCTTCTACTATTCTAGTTTATCAAATCTGAGGAAGTATTTATTTTCTGCGTTGTTGTTGTGTATCAGTTTAGGTTGGCTGTAACTACATGGAAGCGCTAGATTTGCTAAAACTCTTGTGAGACCTGTTGCCCGACACCCTAACCTTACCTCAACCATCTAAAGGTCAATGCCAAACGTAACCATCTCTGAAGAACTTTTGCAAATCAAGGGTTACATTTGAAGATGTCCCCATGGACTCCCACACATTGTGATGGGCATTTTTGCATACGTTTTTCATCATACAGACTAAATTATTAATTTCATTTAAAGACATATTGACCATATTCAGCAATAATTTCACTTATCGTTAATAACAGTCCATCCATATCCATAATATAATATAACAGCGTATAAATGAGAATTCATTGTTATTCTATATTCACTGATATTGTTCGTGGTCTTTATAGCATTTGAATTTGGAGAAAAAAAACGTCTAACTATTGTAAGTTTAAAATCTTGAATATCCTACAGCTCCCCTCTGAAGATATATAAAACAGCATAATAGTGACAGTCGTACAAACTAAGGTGCATTTTAAACAGAACAAGTCTCAGCAATCTTTTACCATCAGATAAATAGCAGAGGTTTCCACATTATAATTAGTGTATGAAGCGCGACTTAACTACCATTTAGTTATATTGACATGTATCACTTTACATCATAACTAAGCGACAGTAGGCTATATCATATGGTTGAGTTTCAATGTCTTATTCGGCTGCCAAGTGGCAAAACAGTTACATGATGTTATACATATTATATTTAATGCGTTATTGAATAGTTCAACTTGAAGTCAAATGTATATTCATATTGCATCATATTCTAGGTAAGTTGGTCCGGATACAGTGAAGATGCGGAGTGATATCAAAGTAAAAGCCTTCCCGCAGGGCTCATTTCCAAGTAGGAAAGTCCCATAATAATTATGGCAACATACTTTCTCCGCATGCAAAGCTACAGCACCTGAACACACTGGTTTTATTTCAGCAACATCGAAAACACTCAGACTACAATACAACTTCTGGTTAGTAACTTAATATTTGTGCTGTAATGTTATATTTAACCCTCATTTCAGTGTTGCTAAATTAAGTAGCAGTTTGACAGCATCCGGAAGTAATGAGCTCCTGCGTATCGCCCTCTCATTGGCTGTCACACAGCACGGCCTGCTCAGTTAGCCTAGCTAGCTACCTGCTAACTAATCGCTCACATCGAAAACAAAGCAACCATGGCACGGATCAGCTACTCCAACACACAAAGGTGAACACAAACAAGATACACTTACATGAAATCTGCTTATAACCAGCTCTGGAAACAACATGAGATTCCTGAAATCAATCAATCCCAGTTTCCCAATAAAGGGAACAGCAATCGAGGCAGCAAACCAGGACCGGGTGATGAAAGGGATGCTTCTGAACCAGTCCCCGAGGTCTGACATCTTCCCATATAATTACTACCGAGTTATAACCATGAAACAGGAGCTCCTCTTGAAAAATTAACAAATATCCCCTAAAACAATGCAAACCCTCGCTGCTTTTAAATCAGAAGTGCTGCACTGCTAACTTTACATGACGTGGCTAATCACAGGAGGCTAGCTATACATAGGTAAAGTTTCCTGGATTCTAGCAGACACATCCGGTTCAGCTTTTCAAAGTAAAATCTATCCCTACTGGGCATAGCTTTTACTACAACTGCTTCTACTACTAAAAATAAGAGCAATACAAAAACAATTGATTTGACAAAGAAGTGATATTCTTGGGGGGGAAATAATGTTAGTGAGAGGAAATTGAAGGCTTGCACCATTTATTAGGAACATAAGAAGAAACGTTTTTTTTAAGCCTATAATAATGTATGTTAATGCATGTGTCAATTTTTATTTTGTATTAACCTTGATTTGGAAAGTAACTTGTAACTAAATAAATTGTGGAGTAAGAAGTACAACATTTGCCAACAAAATGTAGTGGAGTAAAAGTATAAAGGAATATAATTTGAAAATACTTAAGTCAATAACAAGTATCTCAATTGTTTTATTTAAGTACAGTTGCTCACAGTAACCTTACTTTTCTTAGAGTTAATTGACAGTTTTGTCTGTCTTTTTACCTTGTTCTTATTGGTTTACATAAGTGATAATAATCATTGTGTTGTTCAGAGGGTTGTTGACATACTCACTTGGCAATTCTTGCCAATACTTTTGATGAAGTCTTATACGTTTTTCTTCTCTTAACAAAATAATTTAAAGTTGTTAGTTTATGATGTTTTATCATTATTAAGTTATTTACACGATTATTCATTTCAAAGACTGGTTTGTATCATGCACTTACTTTGAAAGACACATTTTACAACCGGATGTCCTTGTATTATCTCACACCAACACCTTTGTTTGTTTTGCATTATTCTAGCACTTCCTGTGAAAGTCACAAAAGCTCACACTGGACCAATCAAAAGGCAACAAGCAACAGAAAGAGGCGTGCCCACGCGACAGTTTACTTTCCCCACAGCAACCACCTGTGGAGGGCTCGAGCCAATGAAGCGGAGAATGTGAAACATGTCAATAAGACGACAAATGAAGCCCAGTAAGAATCAATACTGATGATAAATATCAATTTTAATGAAACTTTATCATGATTTTACTTTACTTCATAACTCGGATGTTAGGTAAACATTTTCAGGGTTTTGATAATAATTGTGTTCAGCTAATTCAATATAATAAGCAGGGATACATAATGACTGAGTAAGGATTTTATTGCCAAGTAAGTTTACACAAGGTATTTGCTTTGGTGTACGGTGGTGCATACATAATCACAATTTAAGGAAATTAGTTGTAGGAGATTATCAGAAATATAATATAACGCTTACAAAAAGAAAACTTATAAATAGAACAATTGGGAAACTGAATGTTATGATGGAGACTGATTTATTCAATGTTTCCCTTTTCACTAATAATAATACAATAGGCCTATACAAATCACAAAATATAATTATTTACAGATTAATATGACACACTTATTTTAGGGTCCCTCTCAGTTAACTAGACGCTATTTATGTAGTCCATGAGTGTAGTTTTCAACTACAACTCCCATATTGCTCCGCCTATTTGACGTCATTTTAGGGCGCCTAAATAACTGTTCACAAAACAAGCAAAAACCTCTCCTGTAGCCGAAGTTGAAGCAAAGTCTTAAGAAGCTTAACCTTTTTTAGGGGCTGTTGAACTTTGATTTACACTAAATGGTGCCGAGCTTTACGCCTTCTATGGCCGTAACTGTAGATAAGTATAATGTTATCAAATGAAGCGCATTCAAATTTCGCGCTGTTTGATCCGCCTTTAAAGAGAGACCAGTCTGTTAGCTAGCCATGTTTGTCACCGTAAAAATGAGCATAAATTAAGGTAAAGAGGAAATTCTGTTTTGTATATTTATGCTGTGAGACCAGACAGACGTCTTTAAAATGGAGGTGACGGATATCGGAAACAAAGAAGAGGGGAAAGTCTGGCATCGAAAACCAACACCAGGAAAAGGGTAGGTCTCAAATATCCAGAGATGCACCTGGTTAGTGGTGTAATGTAACTAAGTACATTCAAGTACTGTACTCAAGTGAAACATTGAGGTACTTGTTATTTACTTAAGTATTTTCCAAATTATATTCCTTACACTTCTTTGCAGCTTTAGGTTAATACAAAATATAAATGGACTCATACATTATTATAGGCTATCCAGTAGTTTATAAAGTAATTCAAATGAACCTTTACCAAGTACAACACTGAAGCGATGAACAAATAAATGCACCAATACTTTAAATAAAATAATTAAAAAAAAACTACTTACTAACTTACTTTTGGTACTTAAAGTATATTTTGATGCTTATACTTTTTTACTTAAACTTAATTACAAATATGAATGCAGTACATTTACTTGTTGTAACAGAGTATTTTTACACTGCTTATTTATTGTAAGGGAGTTATGTTCTATAACACTTGTTGCACTCCTCATAACGTTGCATTCAACCAAGTATGAACTGTAAACATTTGAATGACAAACACTATGTATAAAGTTATATAACCATAAGGTATAACCATATATTGTATACCCCCAAGAGATCTGTCTTTAGATCTGTTGTTTTTTTCCAGCCTCTTTTTTGAGTTTGTTTTTTAACCACTAGAGCGCATCCATGGTTCACTAAAAAGTGTTGCTGAGTTTGCATTTCTCCTTTCTAATGTGTGTGTTTTTAATTGTAATTCAGTATACAGGTGTAATTGACAATCAGAGCAATATAAAATAGCCAGTGATATATCACACTAGCCACAAATAGTAAATAGTTGGTCGAATCTTTTAAAGGTGTGTTGTTTGTCCTCTCCAGAGTGTTGGTGACGGTGGTCCGCACTGCTCAGCAGGCCAAGATAGTGCGTTTTCTCCATGTGACTTTTGACACCACAGGGGACTCCTTCCTGGCTGGAGATCACCATGGCAACATCTACGTCTTTGACATCAGTAGAAACAGGTGAATGACTGAGCTCAAAAGCCCAAAAAGAATTGTGTTTAAGACATTCACAAATATAATGGGCCACTTACTGTCTTAATTACTGTGCACACTTTCTTATCAATGCTAGTAATGGAAATGTAATGAAACTGACAATTATATTTGGAGTGGTAAATACACTTACAAACTTTTTATTTGTCCCAATTTTTTTTTTAATATCCAAGCACATATTCATGTTTTATCATAAATGTATTTTCCTTTCTTATTTAGAGCACAGAACACAGTTGCCTTAAAGGTCACCTATTGTGCAAAATCCTTTTTCATGTATTTTATACAGAAACATGTGTCCCCTCTGTGTAAAGAGATTCTGAAAGTTTCAGGAAAAAAGATTCACTCACTTTTTGTCCTGATCCATTTATATAAAAACCTGTCTGAAAATTAGATGATCAGATTTCGGTCACTTTATGATGTCATAACGATTATTTGGCTTGTGTAACCATTAGCCAATCAGCAACCAAGGTAACCCCCCCCCACACCTTATCACCTGAATCTCCTCCTAGAGCACCATTGAGTTATTTTTAACCAAATCTCTCTCAGAGGGGCGTGGGGAGTGGCTCCTTATTTTCATCTAAAGTAACAGACAGAGAATCAGCACTTTTGAAACAGGGCTGAAACAGAGGGGATTATGGGATGCTGCAATGATCTGTTTGGTGTTTGGAGCCAAACACTTCAGAGACATGTTTTGTATATATCTGAGACCTATAATATATTGATGAAAAACAGTATAATGGGGGACCTTTAAAGTGATCAGCCCTTACTCCTTAGACTCAGCATGCTTTCACATTTATCTGAGCTTGTGTTTTTCATTGCTTCTTTTCTTCGGTGCAGATTCCGTCTGGTGCAGAAGACGGGGCAAGCCTGCACTGCTCTGGCCTTCAGCCTCCGCAGGACCACAGAGTTCCTGGTGGCCTTGGCTGACTACACCATCAAGTGCTTTGACAAAGGTAGGATATGAAAACATCCCCACTTCATTTTGCAAATTGTTATTTTCATATATGTATACTCTGTTTTTTGGTTTTAAAGACTTTTTCTACATGAGTCATTTTCGATGACACCTATCTTTTCATTCCCCTCATTTCAGACACAAAGCAGCTGGTCAGTTGGATGCGGGGTCACGAGGGATCAGTTTCTTCGATCTCTGTCCACAGCTCCGGTCGCTACGCCATCAGCACGTCTTCAGACACGGCTCAGCTCTGGGACATGGACACCTTCGAGAGGAAAAGGAAGCTCAACATCCGACAGTCTGTTGGTATTCAGAGGGTAAGCATCCATAAATAAATAAAAAAGCAGCATTCACAGGTAGCAGTTTGATCACAACATGAAGCTTAGCGTTAATGGGGCATTCTGGGTTTTATCTTTTGAAATAGGGGTTTACGTTTTTTTTCGAATGGGCTGCACGATATGGGGATAATAATGCCATATAACGTTGTTGAATATCGTGATAACCAATTTTTTGCCATAAATTAAACCTATTGAACATCAAACTGAACAAAAAAATCACCAATAAAATATAATTATTATATAAATATTGTAGTCTTTTGCCATGTGTAGCCCTAGTTTTGGTTTAATTCTAAGCTATTGATACAATATGTCTCGCACATGTATGGTAGGCAAACATTTTGTATTCTTTTTCAATTGTTTATGGGGACTGCACACTGTTTGTGTTGCAGGTGTTTTTCCTTCCTCTCAGTAACACCATCCTCAGCTGCTTCAGCGATGACTCCATCTTTGCTTGGGAGAGCGACACGCTGTCCTGCAAATACCAGCTCCCTGTCCCCGACTGTGGACCCAAAGTCTCCTACAAGGCCTTCGCTGTCACACGGTGGGTCTTTCGCATCACTACACCTAACTAGCTCAGTCATTATGTAGCTTCCAAAGTACTTTTTCATGATTTATATTTCCCACTCTCACTGTGTCGGCAGTGATGGTAAGAGCCTTGCTGCTGGGGGGCGTTCCAACCTGCTGCACCTGTGGTGTCTGGACAGCAAACAGCTGATCAGGGTGATTCAGATGCCCACGCAGGTCCGAACCGTCAGACAGCTGGATTTCCTGCCGGACAGCTTTGACGGAGGAGCCAGCCAGGTGTGGTAAATGTTAAACATATGTTTATTTTCTCCACAGCAAACATGTCGGGTTTGTTTGAGCATTTATTTCTGTCTATGTAGACGCTAGGTGTATTGAGCCAGGACGGTGTGATGCGTTTTATCAACATCCACACCTGCAAGCTGCTGTTCCACATGGGTTCCCACGACGACGCCATCACCACAGCGACGGTCAGCCCCAACGGCAGACACGTGGTGGCCATCATGGATAATGGCAGCATCAATGTCTACAGTGTTCAGAGTCTCACTCAGGAATTAAACAAGGTGGCAGTGAGTTGTGATAACAGATCAACAATGTCAAAGATTCAAAAGTGATGTAAGGTGTTGTTCTGTATGTGTGTTCATGATGTGTGTGTGTGTGTGCCCCTCGGCCAGCCTCCTCCCTCCAAGGTGGCAGTGGTCTCTGGTGGTGGAGCTGATCAGGACTTGTCTAACTTAAAGGTCAAGGTCAGGTCAGAGGTCGTTCAGAGAGGCAGGCAGACACAGGTGAAGATACTGAGACCCCCTGCTTGCTTTACAGCTGAGGAGAAAGAGGTAGGATCAACACTCATCAGTGCTGTTATATTTAGAATTTTCTTCATTTCTTTTAAATCATAGAAATGTTCCACCACAAAGTATCACTTGCTACAATGAGTGGTATTTCATGTTAAGGTTATACTTCTTTGAACAGAATGAACTGCCTGCTGGTCTGAATAAGAAGAGATTGGTCGCTCTGCTCAAAGGGTTTGGAGAGTATCCGGCTAAATACAGGTGAAGATTACTTCCACAGGATGAGGATTCATGCCAACCTTTTTTACACTTGGTGTCAGATTGACATGATACATTTGCATTTCTGTGTTGCAGGATGTTCGTGTGGCGGTCTCTGTTGTGTCTCCCAGAGAACCATGCGGCGTACAGCAGTCTGACTGACAAAGGCCTGCACTCAGCCTACCTCACTCTGCAGGATAAATACCCCATCAAAAGTCACAAATTACAGAGGGGCCTGCAGAGGTAATTGCACACACACACACACACACACACACACACACACACACACACACACATGCCAAGACACACACTAATGCCACACTCATTGCAGTGCTTTCTTGTTTCTGATACTTGTAATTTCATTTTTATCCTTTTTTTCTGTCCTTTGTTTAGAGAACAGTGTTAAGGCCAGGCCTGAATGGGAAGAAATAGGAGTCTTTTTTTATTTTGAATTCAAGAATAATGTAAAACGTTCAATGTATTTGCTTACACTAAAAGTTGGATTTATTGTCGACATCTTACTCTATTCTTAAAAAAAAAAAAAAATGTAAATTGATTTGTTCCCATGCCTTGCATTTATACTTAAAATCCAACCATATTCTCGCCCCTTGACTTAGTACTTACATTATTCTAGAAATGTATTACATTTTGGACATTCCAACTTTATTCTCTGCTGTTCGACTTATTCTCAACATTTAATCTTAATTCTCAACGTTAGAACTTTTTAGTTTTAAAAAATAAATAAAGATCTTCTCCCCTTTTCTGTCCCTAATGCCTGACCCTGTTACTGTTCCCTAATTGTCCTCTCCTCCACTCCTCAGGGTTCTGTCTGCCTTAGCTCACTGGGCAGCCATCTTTGGAGAGGTGGAGTACCTCCCCCTGGTAGCCTTCCCTTTCGTCAAACTCTTCCAGAACAACCCCATGCTCTGTTTTGAGGTGGTGGCCACTGTCATAGGTACTGAATGTTTGTATTAATGAAGTAACATTTTCTTAGTAGGCACAACATTATGAAAAAATCGACACATATTTGAAAGTATTGTTGCCTTTTTATGTGTAGAAGGTAGCACTGCTACATTCATAAGCCTAAAACCAAAAATAACTGCTACTAATGTGACTAAAGAATGTTGGACTGTTGACATTTCGGAACTTATTTAAAAAAAAATTCAAACCTGGCTCTGTTAATCAGGAATTTCAATGCTTTTAGGCCCAGTTTATCAGTCTGTTGATGACTCAGATGTTTGGTTGCACAGTGAATTGGGGTCAGCACTGGTTCGAATACTTTCCCAACCCCCCTCTGAACATCCTGAGCATGGCGGAGAACGTTCTGGCTCATCATGACAAGGAGCTGCTGCAGCACCTGGTGGACTGTGGCATCACCTCACAGGTAACTGCAGGACAAACAGGCTGACATGAAACATGTCACACCCCTGTGATGCTAACACTTACTATGCATCTCTATATCTGTCCCAGCTCTACGTGTGGCCGCTGCTGGAGACCTTGTTCTCAGAAGTTCTTACTCGTGAGGAGTGGCTCAGGCTCTTCGACAACATCTTCTCCAATCATCCATCCTTCCTGCTCCTGGCCTGTGTGGCCTACATCACCTGCTGCCGGGAGCCTCTGCTGCTCTGCTCCCAGAAAGAGGACTTTGAGGTAAATCGATAAAGTCAGTCCCATAGTCAGTAACTTGATGTCCTCCCCTATCCAATCATCCTCCATTGTCCTGTTTCTTTTCCTCTCAGTATTTCTTCCACCATCGTAACAACCTGGATCTGGGAGCCATGATAAAGGAGGCTTACCGGCTCATGGGCAGCACACCGGCTGACATCCATCCCAGGACTTTGCTCTCTGACTTTACCCCACTGACCAAAGGCCAGTACCCCGTGTTCAACCACTACCCAGAATTCATAGTGCAATACCAGAGCCGGGAGAGGGAGAAGATACGACTGCAAGAGATGGAGTATCTCCGCGAGAGGTGAGCGTATAGCTAGAGTATTGACAGTTTTAAGAAGATAGGCAGATTTGCATATTAAATTAGCTAAAATGAGTGTAATATAATACATTTCAAGCTGTAACAGATGTTTTATCACACCAGGCAGGAGGTGTCAGCACTGCACACAGATTTTGTGCGTCGCCAGGCTGAAGAGGAGACCTATTATGCACAACAGGTAGATATTGTTTATCATAAATCCATGTTAAGCACATATTATGTTATGATGAAATTCTTGTCTTCCTCGTATAGTTCGTCCTTATATGAAAATGTTGTGAGCTAAATACATTATTTCTTCATATGAACATAGGAGCTGTTGCAGAATGCAGAGGAACAGCGCAGGAACATCCTGGCACAAGAAGAGGAAAAACTAACTCAGCAGAGGACAAAGTAGGAGCAAAAGAGAAAAGAGTGATGTGATTTAGCAGAATAGGCTTCTGACACGGCTCTGTTCTCTGCAGGTTGGCAGCCATGAAAAGAGAGCTGAAGGTGAAGGAGCTACAGCTGCTGGATGCGACCAAAAGACGTTTCCTCAAACACCAACAGGACCTCAGAGCCTCGCAGGTTAAAAGGCTGGACCAGGAGATCAGTAAAAAGGTAACCTGGGGAGATGCATTCAAGGTGGTATTTTATACAAAGGAGCCCATGTTAGAAATACAAGCTCTGCTGATCACAGTTAATCAAGCTGGTGGGATTGTCTGTATTTATTCAAAGGAAATGTCATTTTGAGCACTGACCCAACCATAACCCACATGTTGTGCTACAGATGGATCTCCGGGAGCGAGAAACGGCTACAGCAGTCCAGGATCTGGAAGTCCGACAGATGGAGCTGGAGGCCCAGCGGAAACGACTTGAACAGGTGAAACTTCTTTTTACTCTTTTGATTAACTTCTCCCTCCTTCCTCTATCTGTGTGAGCATTGATTCCCCAGTGATGTCTCATCTAAAGCTAGTAAACATGTTGCAGTTGAAAATACTAAAAGCATATGTTGTGCTTTCTCGTGGGACATTTAATAGAGCACATGTTTGACACCAGGTCAGCCTTTAAGTTTGAGTTTGACTTTGAAAAAATTGTTTAGAGTATAGGTTGTATCCAGGGGCGGACTGGGACAAAAAATCAGCCCGGGAAACTCGACCGGCCGACCGGCCCAACTCGGTACCGCTAGTCAATTGTCAACGGGGGGTGGGGGGGTGCTAGTGAATTGTCCGACCGGCCCACTTCGGTACCGGCCCACCGGGAAAACTCCCGGTATTCCCAATGGCCAGTCCGCCCCTGGTTGTACCTAATTCTAGACTTCCCAGTGATGTAGCCAGACACGAAGGTAAAGCAACATATTTAGCTGATCACATCTTTGTAATAATTGTGCGTCTGAAGTTTTTGTTTGTTTGTTGTTTCCCTCAGCACCTGTTTAAGGAGCAGGAGCGCGTGGGACGGGAGGTTGAGGAGGAGGTGGAGATGAAGATGAGGAAGGCAGAAAGAGAGGAGGAGAACTACACAGAGCTGTTACACCACACAGAGACCAACATGCAGGTTAGAAGGACTTTCCAATACGCAGCCAGTGTGATAATAACAACATATGTCAGCATCTCAAACACTTGTGAATTCCTCGACTTCACGAGAAACGATCAAAGCCTCGCTGGCATGCAAACTCTGGTTTTGGCCCTGCTACCGGTGAGCTCCCCTCGTATCTGTTAACTCTCTCTCTCTCACACACAAACGCAGGCGCTGGAGGAGTCCCTGGCGGAGGCGTGCCAGCTGGGCCTGGAGTCGGACTGGCAGAGGGAGGTGGGGGGGCGCCTGCAGCAGGTCCACGCCCAGCAGCAGAGCAACAGGGGGAGACTGGCAGAGAGTCACAGGCAGACCCTGGCAGAGGAGGAGAGGCTGGAGGACACCATGAGGGATGTTGCCGGGAGGAAGGTGAGAACAACACGAGTGTTTGCCAAGACAACACTTTAAGTATTCCTAATGTACAACTACTATAACTGACAGCATGGGCGTTTCTATTATCTTTAAATAAATATAAACAAATGGCTCTCAAGAAATTGATCTTTGTGATCGACACGCATAACATCCCACCTTCAATCCATGAATTACTAACTGTGAAACATCACGGGAGACACATTGTGGGGTCTGGAAAATGAAATGTTTTGCTTATTGTTATTCATAAAGGTGCTTGTTTAATTGCAGTGGGATGAGGTAATGAATTCCAGAGCTCAGTTACAGGAGCAGCCTCTGTCCTCAGCTGAAACGGGTATGACTCCACACACACACACACACGCACGCACACGCACACACACGACTTGTTTGCGGCCAGACGTGGATCTAATGTACCAGTGTGTGCTTTGTCTCAGACGTCCGAAGACAGATGAGGGTAGTTTCGCCTCCTCATCGACCCATACCCGCCCCTTCTGTCAGTGCTGGACCCAGCGCTGCAGGTCCAGACGTCAGGCCCGGCCCTGCCCCCCCCCTGAAGCAGTCACAAACCAACATGGTGTGTCTGAACAGCCGATCGCCTTCAGAGAGCACCTCCACCGTCTGTAAGTCACTGTAGACATTCTCCTGTTTTCTTAAGGTATACCAACAGGTGAAGATACAGACTGCTTCAGCTCAAATGACTCTCTGATGAAGAGCCACAAATGCAAAGCCGCACAGCAGCAGCAGACTTGTGTTTGGTGACATGTCTGTGTTATCCACCATCAAACAAAGTGATCAATTGCAGAGATCACAAGATGTATGTACTGTGCCTCAGAGCACCGTCAAGTGGACTATGGAAGTACTGCCAAATGGTTATATTAAATACTAATTTAACATTTTCTTTATACAAAGCTATTTTGTTTTTTTATATAAACATGCTCAATAGTTTGCAAGAATAAAAAAAACTCAAATGTAATTCATGCCTTCAATCAGCAGTGTTAAAATATGAGATGCAGGCTAACAGTGTCTCGGCTTCAGTAACACAGAGAGAGTGGGAGAACAGTTCCACCTGTTGGCAGCCTTACCGTTGTATTGAGTTCAGTGTGTGTGTGAAGTTGTGTGTATGTTGGAATTGATGAAAGTGTGCGTACATTGTCGCAGGTTTTGCAAATATGTTCTTGTTTCTCATCTTGCTGGACAATGGTTCTTGCAATTGGGTAGCAAAAGGTTGAGACCTTGTGAAGCACTAAACCTACTTTTTCGTAGAAGGGCCATTACAAATATTTTTCTAAAGAAAATGCTAAATATTTTATCAATAAATTAGCTGTTATTTTTCACAAGCAATCCATTAGTTGTTTGCTTAGTAAAAGAGCAAAACAAGTAGAGATGATGTTAAATTGCTCTCAAGAGGGGTGGGTCAAATGGGCAATTACTCTCATACATACATTTTTGGTCATCATTCAATCATTTAACTGTTTCATCCATTGCAGCTCTAAATAATATGGCCAGCCTTCTCTTCAGTTTGTGTATGAATAATGTTTCTATGTGTTTGTCTTTCTTTGACTCCTGACAGTTTCCTTGGACAGAGGTCGGGCCCACCTGGACAGCAGCGAGAGAAATCTGATGAAGGAAATCAGAGAGCTGAGACAGAAGCTGGCTGCCAGAGCCAGAGAGGGCGGCTCCTCCCCCTCTGTCCTCACTCTGTCCTCCGTCTCCCAGTGACACACTCTGTCCTCCGTCTCCCAGTGACACACTCTGTCCTCTGTCTCCCAGTGACACACTCTGTCCTCCTTCTCCCAGTGACACACTCTGTCCTCCTTCTCCCAGTGACACACTCTGTCCTCCTTCTCCCAGTGACAGACTCATCTCTGAAACATATTCCTATCTCAGACTACAGAAACAGACTGAGGAGCATCCCGACTGCTGACTGTCATAGTGTTCCTAAAGCATCCTCTAAAAACCACTTTGGAAAAAGGATTTTCATTCTGTGTGCATTCAGTCCTCTGACTGGTTCCCTGGCTCCATCATCTGCTGAGTTCTCTGGTCAAATCCCCACGAGCAGCTACAGTACCATTCATTTTCAACTCGGTTCTATCTGTGGCCCTGGCCAAACAAAAGCCAGAAGCTGTATTATCCTCACTGTCTGTAGCCGCTGCACATTACCCTGTGTCACAAAGTGATGCAACACACAATACTTATACTTTGTATAACTGTATGATAGACATCTGTTAGTTTGTTTACAGAGCAGTGGAACATCTTTGTAACTATTTTACCTCCAAATGTGTTATTGTATCATTCCAATGTAATGTTCATTTGTACACTTTATATTCATAGTTGTAGATTATTTAAGTATTCTTGCTGGTGCCCCATTTAGAATTTTTATTTCAATGCATTTTCTGACATTTTTCTTATTTATATTCTGGTTTGGATCAAATGTTTTTTAAAATCCTAATTCCACCTTCTCTTTCATTTTGCTTTTAAATAATTTATAGAAAGTAGGGGTTGGGGGGGGGAAAAGATCTTGGTAGAAGTAAGATTTGCTTCTTCTAGGATTCTCAGTTTATCAACTTCCAAAAATGTTAATGCTACTGATGGACGGTATTTTGAACACACCAATGAAAGACGTGTTGATCATTATTGTGTTGCGTTACTTGTAAAAAGTTCACAAAAAAATACCAGTTTTTACGTTAGTCTGTGTAAAATGCATTTCTGAAATGGCTAGTTTCTAAAAGCAGCTAGCATTATCTTTCCAAATGTTTCCAAATAACAGGTTATTTTTACATAAATTGAACTTGGTCTTGAAGTCACAGAATTGACAAATGCTAAAAGGTTATTATTAAAAAGAGATTTGTGCAGTAGCATGGACCAATGTTTTTACTGTGTGTTTACACAAATACCATCAGCTGATATAACTTTATTTATTTAACCAAATATAACCAACTGGGATAAAAAAATGTACAACCGCAATCTTGCCAAGAAGCCAACAAAGTCATTCGTCTTGTTCCTGCAAATTACGTACTTGCGTACAATAAAATGCAAAAGGTATGACGTTAAAACAAATGTGCACGCATCAATAAAGATTTGTAAGTGCGTCATACAAACAGACAACAGACATGACAGGTTGTAATGTGTTGTAGCTTGTGAGTCCATCCTGCAGGTCATGCAAAGACTTGCAAAGAAGGGAATTCAGAGATTCCTCTACGTACTTGAGTAACTAGCCTAGAATAGCCTTGTACATGAAATACACCAGTGCTGCATCCCGCTCATATCAAGAGAGAACTGCCACATCGCATTTATCAATCACAAAGCTGATTGGAGATCCTAACAAAAAAAGCACCTCTAAATACTGAATCTGGATTATTTTTTAATCCATTAGTGAAATACCCAAACATTTACACCTCTAACAGATAGTGTATTAAAGAGACAACATGCAAAATGCTAATCCAGTTCCTACTTTAGACATCACTATAAATGAGGGATGTTTGTTTAGTGTTCATGGTCTATGTGCTTTTGACAATCAAAATCAATCTGTCTCTTCACAAACCAGCTGCAGATCAGGTTGGACTGTGCTCCGACCAGCAGAGTGTTCTCACTGTCAAACAGCTGAGAGCCCGAGTGTGTCTCTCCTCCCTGGGTGTGTCTGGAACTCTTTGTCTTTTCTTATACCCCCATAAACATCAGGTGCTGTTTGACATGAGCCGTAATGACAGCCATCCCCATTCCTGTCACTCAGCCCTTTCTCTCCCTGCACCCATCATGTATCAGCCCTCACCTGCTCTAATCGCTCTCAGGCCCTTGAAGCAAAAATAGTTCAACAAAGTTCTTCATTTATGTTAATGTTTAACCAGAAATGCACACATGGTGCCTTGTAGGAAAAAGCAGAAATGTCATATTTCACAAATAAACGTACCTATGGATAGATTTTTGTTACATGTTTTCTTGTGAATTCTCTGCCTTTTTTAAACACCTTATTGCATAACTGTTGCTCTCACCTTTCCTCACGTGTAACCATATTGCCCTCAGCAGGGGCGGGTCTAGGGTTTTCTCCTTCTATATATGGTTCAACCAGTAGTTCTTTCATCTATGTAATGTCAGAGAAATGCAGATCACCCAGGCTCTTGAGGATCATGCACCGCCCGCTTTTGATCAAATAATTGTCTGATGAGAATATTTTTACCTCTTAACAAACTGAACAACATTAAGTCCATCATCCATGGATGCCAGCAGCGTGTCAGTGCTGTGGTACAGGAGGTCGAAGCCCCTGGGGAAGGTGAGGCGGCGGGTTCAGGACCTCCGCATCCCCTCCTCTTGCAGTGACGTCATGGCCAGCAGACCCCCGTTGGACCTGAGCCACAACGAGAGCGCCCGGCTGGCCGTGGACTGCCTGCTCAGCCGGGGTCTGGAGGGGTACCGAGAGATGCTGAGTGCAGAGGAAGAAGTGGACTTTCTCTCCGAGCTGGAGAAGAGTTACATCCTGGAGAATGGGAGAGATGGACACACAGGTTAGTGTTTGTTTTTAGCTTGCTCTTTGCTGCCTGAGGTTTGAACACATCGGTAACCAATAGATTCATTAATTGGATTTAAAAAAAGATAATGATTCCTGGTCTGTTTGTTTTTGTAGCTGATCCTGGTGCCTGTGATGACGGAGACGAGGTGGAGACCCTGTCTTCTGGCTCCCAGTCTCCCACAGCATGTTCCTCTGAGGATTCTACTGTGGTCGGTTTGGACCTGAGCCCCAAAGGTGGGACAAGACTTATAACATGAAATCTGAATACCTTTATTCATCCCACATAGGGGAAATGCACATTGTTACAGCAAAAGTGAAGAGACAAAACATAAAACACTAGTTCGTCCACAAAAGAAACTACTCTGAAATAAGGAATTTAATACAATCTTTCTGCTGTTTCAACTCTACATTTACAGTGTAATCTCTAATAACATGGGGAATTCAAATTGGTAATGTTCTTTATTTGTGAAAACAAAACGACCTGAATGTGTCACTTCACATAGGGCATGTTTATTTTCATATAGAAAAGTCAGCAATCATAAAGGAGTTCAAATGTGATTGACTTGCAAAGCTTCAAACAGGTCCTTTATCAACTGAATTTTAAGCTAACATAATTATTTTAATGTGAAATTTCAATTTGGTTTCACGTATAAAATCAAAGCATCACGTGATTTATTTTGTCTGAGATTAACTTTTGACATGTTAAAGTTTTAATTTACATGTAAGGTTACAAAAAATGTTAAGATAAAAATGTGATTTTCAAATGTGAAATCACAACACCAAGTTAATTGTTTTAGTAAAGTATCAAAGCATGATCTGCTCTCCTTCGCTGCCCTCTCCACTCATGTTCATGTCTCTTCCAGATGTGAGGCGGACTGGTTCTGTGCTGGACGAGCCAATCGCTGAGCTCTTCTTCCAGTCTGGCAGCCCAGCAGGCAGCATGAAGGACCTGGTCCGAGGGTTCATCAGGAAGGCTGCCATGGTGGGTGTGTTTCTGTGTGAGATGAGGAGAGCACTTAGTGTGTTTCCTTGTGTGCCTGCACATTATAAGAACATGCCATATCATGCATGCCTGTACATGTGAGGGATTATACAAATGTATAGCCCTGAGTGCTGTGACACAGTGAGTGATATCTGTCTGCACAGGTTTTTGTTATAGTGATTGAAATCTTAAATGAAATGTGTGTGAGCAGGCCCTGGCCATAGTGATGGACACCTTCAGTGACGTAGAGCTGCTCTGTGATCTTCTGGAGGCCAGCAGGAAGAGGAATGTGTCCGTCCACCTTCTGCTGGACCATCTCAACTTGAACTTGTTCCTCAGCATGTGGCAGGACCTCAAACTGGACAGCAAAAACTTCCCTGTGGGTTTCTTTCTCTACCTCTTTCCATCCTCCTGTCTGTCTGAGCCTGAACGCATTTACCAAAACTTTGTTAGGGGGGAAAAGCACCTGTTTCACATTCCTTGAGTGTAATATTTTTATTATTTTTTCATAAATACCATTATAGTATTTCAAAAAGAATACTCAAATACAGGCTACAATGCTTGCATGTTATGATATTTGTTATTATAAATAAGGTAACAGTTGGACAGATTTACATTTAAACTGATGCTGTTCTTGATGCTTGTGCAGATTTGTGCGTTGTTTTATATATTATATAAGTCTGTGTAAAGTGTGCGTAGTCTTCATTCTAAAGCCGAAACGTTGTTTTTTAACAATACATGCATTTAATATTATGCCTTGTGCAAAGACCTGATGCGTCGCTCGTAAAAACAAGAGGTATTGGGTATAGTATAATTTCTAAATAGGTGGGGATAAATTAGGTTGTCTGAGTAATCCCCCCTACAAACTTCAGTTCTGATCATCACTATCAAATATTCATTTTCAGAATTTGCACTCTAAAAATATGTTGACATCAGCTGACTGTGTTCTGGTTAGGGTAATCTACATGGTGTACATGAATGAATATCGTTTTTCATTCTTTTGAATACTGTTGAGGTCGAAGTGAACTTTGGTAAAGTATTTTCCCTCCACTTGCAAGTAGCTGCTCTTACACCAACTATGGAAGAATGCCGTTGAAGGCAGAGCAGCGTTCATATGCCCAACCTAATGAAAGCAGTGCACTGATAATCAGAGTATGTTGCGAAAAATGTTCCCCAGATTCATGACCTTGCACAAAAGAAGAAAACAAATAGTAGCTAAGTGTTTTAGTTCAAACAACTTGATCTGCACTACAAGCAAATCAGCTTGATGTTAATGCTTCTCTCTCCTTTTCTAATCATAATAGGAGCCACCATAGGTGACAGACCTGTAAGGAGTCTGCTCAAATAACAATATCTTTCATATCTAGCTCCTGTCTATGTCCTATCCAGGATGAGACTCAACCATCCTAAAACATGTAGCTCCTTTCATGACAGGCTGGTCCAGGAACCATCTACATTCTCAGCTCGAAATATGAATACAAAACTGGACTTCCTGCTCCCCATTGTTGCAATACCGAGACAGCCGGTAACATTCTGTGGACATTAACGACGGCATAAGTCAGAGAATAGCCAATTTCACAATATCATCAAGGTGCGGGGGTGGAGGCATGTGCCACGGTTTGCTATTCCTCACTCATTTCTGCTGCCCCGCCGCCTCTCCTATCAATCAATCTGGGTCCCGAGGCCAGACAGGGAATGAGTCTGTCCATTCCCTTAGCGCTGCTTGATATTTTTTGTGTGTGTGTGTGTGTGTGTGTGTGTGTGTGTGTGTGTGTGTGTGTGTGTGTGTGTATATGTATATATATATATATATAGAAGCTGTCGGTCCGCAGTGTGGAGGGACAGACCTACTGTGCTAGGACAGGCAGGAAGCTGACAGGACAGGTTTCTGAGAGCTTCATCATCACTGACTGGAGCGAGGTGCTGACCGGCTCTTACAGGTACACACTACACGCTTTAATAACATCTGATGGCATGCTAGGATTAGTTATGACATGTTAGTATGACTTATATTGAGATATTCATTTTTAAAAACATATTATATCATTATATTGGTATTATAAAACCCAAATGAATTTTAATGGACAATGTTATGAAATGGTATAGTATAACTAAGTGACATACAATACCATTTTTTTAATTAAATTATAATGGCATACTGTGACTTGTTTTCTTTTTATGGCATACTATATTATAACTTTATATATGACATTTTTCTAACATTATTTGTCATATTATGTTGTTCAGTACAAGCAATAAACGGGAGTTATGAGCGTAACGTCGTCCAGCGGTTACAGATTAAGTGTTGTGCAAATAAAAGACACACCTCTGTAGTCAAAGATAGAAATCCTTTGTCACCTTTCCTTACATACTCAGCTATTTTTTCTATAATATAGTTTTTTTTTTTAATGGCACACTATAGTAGGACTGTTTTATGACTTTTAATGGCCCGTTTTGATCTCCTCAGTTTCTCCTGGCTGTCCTGGCAGGTCCATCGTACTCTGGCTGTTCTTGTGAGGGGCAGCGCGGTCACACCTGTCCATCAGGAGTTCCTCAGGCTGCATTCCAGCTCCAAACCCATCCCTGGCTTTATCTCCTTTATCACCGTGCCCCTCCTCCTCCCTCTTTACCGAACATTACAGGCATCTCAAAACGCTGAGCTGAAATCCAGCCCGCCCACAGCACCATGCCACAGTGCTCCTAAAGGGAAACCACAAAACCCTCACACCAAAGTAAAAACGCTGGTTTCATGCAATCCACAGAGCACAGATTTGGAGTGCAGCAAGGCCACGTCTCAAAGGGCAGGTGAAGGTACACACATGCATCAACAACGGACACAACTGTACCCAAAACCACTTGTTAACCCTGGAGCACTGCAGAGTGCACATCAGGGAATGGTAAAGCATACAGTGGGAGAGCACAAGACAAATGTTGAGAAGCATCAGATCCAGAGTCACTCAAGTCCTCTCAGTCCGACACATGTCTCATATGTTCAGTCACAGCTTACCAGCCTTACCATCACCACTACAACTGAACAAAATGCTGAAAGGTCAAACCCTCGACACACTGCTTCTCCCGCGTACAGAGAGCTTAGGACTGCCAGTGATTGGCCAACTCTCAGGACAAATCAACAGGACCATAATGACAGGTTTCTGTTTCTCCAAAGGAATGGGAAAACCATGCCTCTGGAGGGGATGGCTGCCGGTCCGGAGAGACAAAGACAACAATGGAACTGCAACTTTAAACCACAGGTGGACTTTCTATCTGATAATCCCAAAGTACTGCCTCCTTCCACATCACAGCAAAAACCAGCAAAGACAGGCCCGTGGTTCCCTCTAACACACACACGAGAACACACATCTCGGCTGCAGACTGAAGTATCGTCTCTAGAACACAGGAGGCACCATCAGGTTTTCTTCGAGTCCCACCGTACAGCAGAGGCTCTGAGTCCTAAGCCTCGGTTGGACTCCCAGCTGTTCTCACCGTGGACACATCTGCAGCCCCCCCCTTCTCAACAAACCAGGTCCCCTCCCATACTGAACTGGATACCCCAGAGCAGCACTGGAAGACCCTCACCTGTGGCCCCCCGCAACTCCCTCCTCACCACCTACAGGACAGACAGACCTGGGGGCTGGAGGACATTTCACAGTGACAGGACTACATCATTAGGAAGGAGCCACAGCTTGACCGACAGATACCGAGCAGGCCCTCCTCCAAATGTACCCAAGATATGAAGATTAGTTTAATTTATGGTGTTCAATTTATGGACACATATTCAACTTCACACAGTCTACTCATACAGGTCAACAAAAATACTTTATTCATCTGAAATTCTATTCAAAATAGTATATTAGGAAGCTTTTTCCAGATGTCATTTAGCTTAGCATAAAGACTGGAAGCAGGGGCGTAGCAGCCAAAATGCGTATTTATTGTCTTATTATCATTATTGTTAACAGCACACACATTTGCAGTTTGCCACTTCTGCTAATTTTCACATGGGGGTGGTTTATGGTATTTATGGCACATTATATGTCCGGGGTTTGTGGATGACAAAGCCTGATCTTTTCTGTTGACCGCACGGTCTTACCTTGGTTATTGTTTGTTCATTTTCTTTTCTTTTTAATCCTAAAACTTTCAGTTTTATGAAAATGTTAAGGCATGAATGACATTTCCGCGAATACAATTTGTATCAATCATATATCACTTTGATGGTGGTCCAGAAAATAATCCTTGTCATAAATCATAACACACACAGTATGAAGTGGATATTTGTATCTGCTTTATTAAATACTCTACTGTATCTGTGCTTGAATAAAATGAATACAATTCTGTGGAAGTGTGTGAGTCAAAACAGTTGAGATATTTCTCTTTATTGGGGGGGTATTTCTGAGATTGTCAGCATTAAAATGTACTGTGTGGGGTCTTGTTATGATATCAATAATGTGGATTGATCACTTTGGATTTCCCACACACAGGGACAGGGTCTTCCTGTCAGCGAACAGGCCTCAGTTCTCTGTGTGCGTCTGTGTCTGAGGACGGCCGTCTGTTTCTAGCACGCCAGTCAGTAAGATCTTGTTCCACCAGCGCTCCTTGAAGCTCTGCAAACACACACTGGACAGACTCTCCCCGTCCTGACTGTCCTCTCTCATTTTGTCTGGGATCAGGTCCTCTGACACCACCTGGGAGATCATACAGTGAGAAGGTGAATGTGTGTTTCTACGTGGAAACTAGGGGTGGGAATCACCAGGCTCCCCACGACACGATACTATCGCGATACTTAAGCCACGATACGATAGTATTGCGGTTCTACGATATACTAAGTATTTCGATACGATATATTACGATATTGCAAATCACATGGGTCACATCCATGTCCATCTTCCCTTCCTGGTTAAAAAATGTATTTGCAATATGAATAGTTTATGTAAATAACCCAATTTGTGTTATTTGAACCTGAAAAGGAGATGGCATTGTTTTTGTTACTTTCATTGCAATTGTATACATGTCTTAACGTAACTTCCTGTTTTATATACGACCATCTTTCGGAGCGATATGCTACTGTTTATATAAAATAAATAAATAAATAATAATAAAAAAGTTGATATAATAAAATATCGATACTTGGCATCCGTGTATCAATACAATATCACCACGCAAAGTATCACAATACTATGCTGTATCGATTATTTCCCCCACCCCTAGTGGAAACTGTCCATATTCAAGCCAAAACCAGGAGCACACGCTCACCTCAGTGAGAGTCTGCAGGGTTGTTTCTTTGGGATTGAGCCTCTGCAGCACCTCATCTGTCGTCTGTAGGGTGCTTTCAGTGCGCTGCAACACAAAGGAGGACTGCTGCTGCCGGAGGAATCTCAGCAGGAGTCTGAGGGAGATATTCAGACAATACGATTTACATTTCAACTGTAAGTTTGTACAGTATTCACAGATTATTGTGTAGCTTTATGTGGGCAAAAAATACAACTCTGATCTTGGTGGGGGGAGGTAAAATTCTCAGGATAAAAACCTGTATATATGATTATCTGGATGAGCTTCAGATGTGCGGGACAACTGATTTTAATAATGTATATTTCTTGCTGAGGTGTTGATCAAAATTATCAGGGGTGCAAACTTCTTTCTTTAAAGAAGTTCATAAAATATCCAATATTTCCAGTGGATTTCAACTACTACAATATATTTAATTGTAGTTCTACCGACTTCTATTAGTAAGTTGTCTAATTTGTGCTGTGTATTAAAGTGTATTTACTTTACCTTGTCCTGATGAAACAGGTGCAAGCTTTCAGCCAGACTCTGTCTCCATCGAGCTCTGCTGCCTCCTCCTCCTCCTGCTCCTGAATGTCTCCATCATTCTGCGTTTTCTCTGCTGGTTCACAACTCTGTAAAGAACAACATCCTAATAAAGGAAAATACAACAATCAAATAAAACCAATGTCAATTTGTTCTATTTTTCATTTATGCATTGGATGGAGCCCATCCTACCTGAGGTTCTGTTGCTGTCCAGCAGCTCCAGACACATCTGTCCCAGGTTGAACCAGTGCCAGGGGTTGAAGGGCAGCAGGCTGCAAAGCTGCTGCAGGCAGGACATACTCGATGCTAAGGCTCCAAAATGCTGGTAGATCCTGACCTTCAGTGAAGGATTACATTTGAATTAAAGGAACACCTCTAAAATGATAATATTAACATGCAATTCTCAGCCTGTTCCCCTGAAATCATGAAGAAAACGTTATCTTTCTCACATGCTTTCACAGTGAAGGAATAATTCAGTAACGGAGAACATTTCTTGATGAGTTGATGTAAAAGGGGGGTCGCGTTTAACGACAGCAAAACTATATAAAAAGACGTGAGACTGTTTTAGCATTAGTGTTTGAAATATTACAGTTTTAGTGTAAATGTGCTTGGGAAGAAGTGAGCATATGACTTGATAAATGAGACTTGGATTACACAGCATGAGTTTCTATACGGGTGTTTTCATACATTCTTTCTTCTTTGACCTTTAGGGCATGCAAGGAAAACAAAGCTTTCTTTGAGGATTCAAGGTCACACAGGTAGAGGAATTTATTAGAATGATTTGCTTGTGTTATTGCTAATGCTTACCTTAAGCAGCAGGATGCTGATCAGGTGACAGGTGTTGGACGCGTCTTTGCTCTGCAGAGAGATCATGTAGACTGAGTTCTGGTCACTTTCTAATGCGAAGCTTTCACACTGGTTTCTTATCTCATTTTATTAGAGCTATGGAAATGCAAATGTGACTACGGCTTTTTCATACCGGAGCTTCCCAGAATCTGGGGCACATAAAAACACAGAAACACTCTTCTTTAAAGGCGCAGAAAGGTGACGAAAAGGGCAATATTAAGGCTGTCCCAGTGAAATTGTCAGGTTTACTCATACATCATTTTAATAGGTATTAACCCATTAAAGGCACACAACTAATATGCGGTGAAAATAACAATGGCTACCTTGAAGTTAAGAAATAAACGTTTAATATTTGCTTATATTGAAAGTGTATTGTATCATATAATACACATATGTATACTGTTTAAACTTCAACCTACCATGTGACCTACTAGCCTACACGAGACAAAATATCTCAAATGGTGAATTATTGTTTTTGTCCTTGTTGCTTTTATACTAGTTATCATCTACTAAATGTTGTGCACAATTTGGAAAAATAACTCATTGCGAATATTTTACATAATATTGCAATAGCAATATATATCATTGCAATAGCAATATATATTATAATATTTAAAGGATCGATATAAAACAAGGAATTTTAGTCTGTAGGAAACCGGATTTTCTGCAGCAACATAATACTTTCATATATGTTGCATCTATCAGATATTGTACTACCATATTGCGATTTTGATTGATTGTGAAGCCCTCATTTTTTTAACACCCAACATACAGATAGGGGACTTGCAGTCAGAGTAGGAAAAGCTCATTGGAGAATTACCAGCAGGTCGGTCAAGTGCAGCGCCCGGTCCCTCTGTCCCAGTTCGGTGCAGCATCGGGCCATTCCCTCCAGCACATCTCTCCTGATGGTCAGGTTGTTGACAGAGTTCAGCTCCAGGCAGCTGCTGTATACATCCAAGGCTTTCTAAACCCACCGCACCACGACAACACAACATTTACATTCCTCAAAGGGGATAACAGATCACATGATCGGTATGGGACTAGGGTTGGAACAATACAGTCAAATTGAAAGATGGACAATTTTTTATTCAATAAAAGCGTTAATTCTTACATTGAAAAATAATGTTCTTTGCAACATTAATAATAATAATACATTTTATTTGTAAGTGCCTTTTCAGGTGCTCAAAGACACTTTACAGTGTTATAAAATAGGAAATAAAATAAAATATAAAAAGTTGAATTAAAATATTAAAACAACATTAGACAAACTTATAACCAAGACATGCCATCGGACCGAGTGTAGTACACATAATGTCACTATTAAAAAATTAAATGTTTTAAGATTGTATTGAGAGAGAAAATGTTTCCGGATAAAAGCTAACTTTGGAAAATGTCATGAAATGTACCATCCCTTTGCAACCCCGAAGGTCACAGTGTGTGTATAATTACATATCATGATAGCAGAACTGTGTTGTTCTAAATACAGCAGATTACAGCTGTTTTGTATTTTAACATCTAAACCTGGTTTCACAAGGAGGTTTGGTGTGTTGTAGTATGTTACTTAACTAGTCTTTTTCCTGTTATCTTGAAATGTTGCTCAGTAGCACACGGCTGAATATAGTTAATATATTCCTTTTTGCTCTGTTGGGTAGAATATGTCAATGTGTACATGACAGGAATAAGTAATGTAACCAATGCTGGATGTTGTTTACATAGCATCAGCTCTAAAAACATGCAAATACCGGCCCATGACGTGAACCAGCAGGAACACATTGAACTCAGAGAATCCACTTTGTATTTGTATTTAACTTGTTGTCAACTTCACTGGTCAGTAAAACAATTCACAATGGTCGTTGAGAAGTATTTAAAATGAGAGATAATCGACTGTCTTAATACCTGATAGTTCCCTTGTTTCAAAGCCAAGTCTCCTCTGAACTTATACACCTTCTGCTTCTCCAAAGGATCATCTGTACAGAGAGCAGAACTCTCACAGAACCACTGCAGAGAAACAAGACAAAGAGATAAGTGGGTACTCTGCAAAATAACTAACGCTGTCATGTAAGGTACAAGGAGCATACCTGTTGTTTTTTTTAAAGTCTGGTAACCTTATTTGAGTATATCATGTACTGAGACAGCTTTATGCAGTGGTAGAAAAAGTATTCAGATTCTTTATTTGTACCAATACCAAAGTTTTAAAAAAAAACACAATTTCAAGTAAATGTACTGCAACAAGAATGGTATTAAAGTAAAACGACTCATTGCAGAATTGAACAAATCTTCCCATTTAAGTAATCATAAATAATCATATATTTGTATATAGTTTCCTAAGTGTTGTTCGTCAAAATCTGAATGTTTTAAAGTAAATAGTAAATACATCTGGAAAAATAAATGTAGTGGAGTTAAAAATACCAAATGTGCCTCCAACATGTAGAAGAGTAGTACTCGCGTAAAGTACAAGTACCTCAAATGTGTACTTAAGTACATTACTTGAGTAAATGTGTACTTAGTTACTTTCCACCACTGGCTCTATGTTCTCCCTGTTCGTGGAGACAGGCCAGACTGTTTACTAAAGAGTTGACCACAGCTAGCTTGCTGCTTCCTTTCATTCATAGCCTTTTCCCGCCACAAGACCAGGGTGGCTTCTTCAATGCCCGGCATTATATACTACACACAGCAGCTGCTTGTTTATCCAGTAACGTTACGTTTATAACGTTGCAGTGTATGGTTTGTATTGAACAGACTCGCCTCTGGTTCACAGCGTTTGGCGTTGTAATGGGACAGAGGCACGGCGACTCGGTCCTTCGCCTGAAGAAACACAGAGTCGTCGAACGTGCTCCCAAATATCTCCATCGGGAAATCACGAATAACTCCCTACTATTAATATTTAACGCGACACAAACAAATGTCTATCTGAAACTCATGCAGGTTTGTTTACGCCCTCATGGTTACAGTCCTTAAGTGTAAAGTGCACAACGGATACAACGTCGAGGATGAATAGTTCCGGGCAGAAAGGTTCCGAGCGACGAATGAAATGGGTTACACGCAGCAAACATGAACACAAGATTGATTAAACTGAAACTCAAATACCAAAAACTATTATTGTTGAAGGCAAGTGTGTCGTCATAATGCCCAGCCAAAAAACTGAACCCACCAATAAGTAGGCCTATAGGCAGTAGCTTACTTTCACACATATGCATTTAGAGGAAATAATATACTGTAAGTGTAAATGTCATTCAATCAACAACAGAAATACTGATGGCGGCATATAGACAAGTTGTAGGCCTACCCTACTAAAGTTATACCAAATATTTGTGGCCACATAAGAATTATTTAATGAGAAAATACAAAATCCTTTTAATTTAACCCTTAGCTGCATAAGTGGGTATTTTTTGACCCGGTGAGGTGGTTTTCTTGAAGTATCTTTGTAATTTTTTTATTCAAATGTTAAGCAGTGATCATTGACCCAGAACCAGAAATCAAGGATGCAGATGTTGCCGAGGCCCAGCCACACAAAGTCAGTGGTGGCGTTCATGGCCTCCAACTCAACCATGGTCTGGGTTTTTGCGTCAAGGATGGAAGCCAGGTCCATGTTCTCGTCCCTGCAGTAAGAGAGAGCTTCTTCCCAAGTCTTACTCTCTTGGATCAGCATAAAGGGTGATTCTAGAAAAACAAACACATAAGCTTAATATTTTTAAAGTGAATAAAAACCAAATATGTGAACAAGCAGTTTTGGTGGTAAGGGCAAACACACAATAGTTTATGTTTAGTTATCTCCCACAGTAATGACATTTAAATAATAGGACAAAAATGACAAATGATTTAAAATCTTCTATCTATGGTAATAATTAGGGCTAGGCGGTGTGACAACAAACTCATTTCAAGTTTTTTTCTCCAAATTATAACGGCATCACAGTATTTATTTATTTTTCAATGATTTGACATTTGTTTACATTTATATGTTTTTCCTATCATAGAACAAATGCTTCTTCAAGCGACGCCTGACTCGACTTTACTTTAGACATTTGTTGAAGCCCATCGTATTTTCTTACATTCTTCATACTCTAATAAGTTCTTTCTGTTGAGGTGGGGGAGTAAATTACTTGTGTTAAATAAATGCAATAAATGTTTAATTGGTCCAGGTCAGATTTTTTAAATCTGAAAAACCTCCAAACGACAGACACAAAAAAGTTGTTCTTGTGTCATATATATCTCCATCTCCAGTCTCATTTTCTTCAGTGTCCAACTTTACATTCAGCTTCACATGTTATGTTACTGCTACTACACTTGACACTGTACCCCAGCATGCACTTCAGCGGTGCGGCAGTGAAAGGAGTCCCAGGGCAATCTTTTATGCCAATTATTTAATTATTTTATGATTATATATATTTTTTGTACCTTCTTTTGTGCCATTGATTTTCACTTCGCACAGAACTAAAGGCTTCGGTTGTAGGTTCTGGTAGATCACAGTGATGTAGCGTCCATACACATTTCCATAACCTATAAAGGTATTCTATTTGCATATGTTGAAGTTTTCAATTGTTTCAAACCTTGAAGAGAGAAAAAGAGATGAACACAAAGTAAGATGGAGACACATTTTCTTTGACGTCTTGAAGCCTGAAAAAGTGAATTAAAGGAAATCAAAGTAACATGAACTTAGGCTATTACTTGAGGTTGGCAGCTCTGTTGCACTCAGGAGAGTACCCGATGTAGATCTCAGCACCGGTTATATCACTATGAACAGAGTCTTTGTTGAAGATTTCAATACTACTAATTTTGTAGACACCCATCAGATCAATTCTCCACCAGCTGTTCATCTGTTTCAAGGTGTTAACACATTTCTCTACATCCTCATCAATAGCTCTGTCAGAAGTGTATTTCTCATTGCCTTCTTCATAGATTGAAGACTGGTATGTTTCGGTCCCACTCAGTTGTATACTTTCTGTGTTGAAGGAAGCTGTAGGTGAAAACAGAATTATTATATAAAAATAAATTCCAAACACTGGCCCTTAACTTTAACTCTAAAAGGTGTTAGATGGGAGAAGATGTATCACTACTGTAGTCTTACTCTACACCAGAACAGTGTTAAATTGAAGATGCAGCCAACACTGTTAGTGTTGTTATCGGTGTTGGTGTTCAGTGTTGGTGTTCACATCTTACTCTTCGTGTTGGTATAGTAACACTGTGATAGTGTTATATTGTCAACACTTTGGAAAGTGTTAATTTAACACTTTGCTGGTGGTTTCAATATAAACTCTTTCATAGTGTTAAAATTAACTACATGGGTGTTGAATTTTTGATTTCAAATTTGCTGTGCATATTTAGCAAAGAAATACATGTATCCTTTTTTAAATTACTAGGCTATCAGAGCAGTAATCCCATATCATTTTAGTTAAGTTAATGTGCATTAAGTGAGCTACTTACCAATCAAAGAGAAGAACAACAGGCTCCACAGCATCTTTTTTGTGGAGAAGAAAATATAGCCACTTCAGTTTAACGTCTATACAGTCACCACAGATATATACATTCAGAAATAAAGCTTACATTTCCTTTAAATTGCACAAGCTATATCTAGAGGGAGACATTTTGTAATGACTTTAACATTGCAAAAATATAGGATCAAATGTAAGTTGGACCAACCTTTCTTACCTTGTTGGGCTTTTTCTCTCTCCACAATTTAAAACGATGCTTGCCCTCTTCCAGCTACAGCTGTACTAATCTCCTTCACTACTGAAAATATACTAAACAAAAGCAACATTGCTCAACTGTTATTTCCAGTCAAATCACCTACAGACTTATTTTAATATCTGTGAACATGACTGCTGTGTTCTCTCTGCTCTTCCAACAACGGAAGAGTGTTACAACATGCAAATATCCCTGCATCTCCTTCATATTACCTCTAACAGGATGCTAAACAAATACCTGCGTAAGTTCGTTTAGGTTTCCTGCTGAATACATTTAATCATCAGTTACATTACAAAAAAAAGGGACATTATTGGGACATTCGCAATACTTGCTGATCTGGTCTGCATTTAGTTCTTATTTCACATTTACTCAAAGCTAAATAATGTTGCTCACAAAGCTCACATATTCAAATCTAAATGTATTGGGGTTTGTCTTTAAAGAAGTGGAAAATATTGTTTTTCATTTAGCTGGGAATCAAGACAAAGCCTCAATTAAAGGGACTTAGTATAGCACAAACTGCTGCCTTTACATCTGGTCGCTACGAGCTGATGGTCGCAGGGTTCACAGAAAGGAATGGTTGTCTTTCTAAAGCAGAGGTGATACCCAAAGATACAGTTTTTAATCAAAGTTTATGACGGATACTCTCAGGGTTTAACACTGTGCTGAAATACAGTTCAGGCAGAGTAGGAATAACTTAATGTAGATGGAAATATCAGTACCATAGACACAGAATAACACACATTTAAACTGTAGAGTTGTTTTAGGTCAGCAACAGCGACATTTCTGCATTCATGGCATAGGTTTTTTAAGTTGAAAACTAAGATCATAGCTAATGTTTTCTTTTAAAACCTACCTCTAGGGGACCAAATGTTTGTTAAAGGAGTGACGTCTTTAAATAAGGGGTGATTAAAGGAACATTAACACATTTATTTGGAGTATACAGTTTGATTATTGTATTATATCTGTGTCTACGGACTGTAACCTAATACAGAAGCTGAGAGATCTCTGTCATGATTCGGTAAAATGGGTCCAGAAGTAAACAAGTTGTATTGAGACAAAAATAAAAAGCAATTGAAGCAATACTTTTTGGGTAAAAACTATCAACAAATAATCAGATCTGAAAAACCAGAAGTAACTGTAAATGTCAATGCTGTATAGTAAAAACATTTGAATCTCTGATTGCTGTAAGAAACATTCAAGCGACTACCTGTCTAAATACAGACAACGAGTGAGGAGTATAGCAGGAGTAAAGGACACAGATATGACATATGCACAACAGGACATCAGGTAAACTACTCAGATCACAATGTTAGCTCTACTGCACAAAGTTAACTGCAATACATGTTAGAAATAAAATCAAAACTCAGGGAGCAGACTTGGCACCTCATCATCCAGGAACAACTATTTGAGAACATGATTAATATTGAAAACAGATTTATCAGACAGTCTGGTTGTGTTACTACCTTCTGTCTAAAAGCCGGCCTGGAAACCATTAAAGGGGTACTCCACGATTTAGTACCTCGAATACAGAAAGTTGGGGGACTCATGGGAAGACATGTTTTTTTTTAAATACCAAAAACACGAGACAAAAATCGAGCTGAATGCAACAGATTGGTGTATTTTGATGACCCTCTATATATCAACTTTTTCAAACCTACAATTTCAAGTGCGTGTTCACTGCTATACCATTGGGAAATCTGAATCCCCCTAAAGACATCACTGTGACATGAGCTTTTTCACCAAAGACCATAATACCAAATTATTTTTCTGATTTAACAAACTTCTGTTGCGATTTGTTAATAAAGCTTTTAATGTCTGTCATCATTCTCTATGACGTTATTGCCTCGTTTGTGTGTGGCAGGAGTGTTTTAATGGCAGGGAAATGTTTTTAAAAGGTTAAACGCCAACAAATATGTATTGACACATAATTATTTTACAAATAAACATCTGTGGTGAATTTAGAAAACTATTACATTTATATCTTTCCCCCCCCAAAAAAATGATTCAACGGTCTTAAAAATGTTTCAATCACGAGTTGGAAACATTCCTTTGCAACCAATAGTTTCATGCTAACAGTAATAGTGTGGACTGATCTTTATCTGCGAATTTGCAGAAAAACTGTGTTTCACAGATGCAAAAAATGATATCAATGATGTGAATGAATCTTCAAAATTTGGTACAGTCCAGAAATGTCCCTCCATGGGAAATATACACTTGTATTCCTAAAGGTCGTACTTCATGTGTACATTCTGTGGAGTACCCCTTTAAAAAACTGCGTTGCAAATTTGATATAAAAATGTTTTCCGTTTTTCTGTTACTGTATGTAATATAACTTTCCAAAACAGCTCCAAGTTCCTCATATTCGGACACATAATTAACATGTACAATTTTTTTTGTAGACTATTCCTTTAACTAATTGCATGTCTTTTCTCTTGAGTTTTGACTTTATATTATTGGCAACATAAGAACCTCAAAGCAGCTCGGCGAAACACTGGCTGGACTCTAAAACTGACTCTATTTTCAAAAACACTACTCAATATTGTCTATCCACTGCTGTCTGGAAAGAGTTGTAAAGACACGGTATTCATAGATAGAAACATATAAAACCATTTAAAACAGAGCGACTATAGTAAAGACAAAGCAAACTGTAAAAGACTGTGGGCTGGATACCGGGGACAGGATTAAGCCTAACCTGTGGACTTAAACAAGACAGCCAGTTTGTAACATGTGTACACATTTTTTTTTTTTTTGCATGTGAAATACCAGAACTCTATAGAAAGGGCACAAAATGGCTGCCGTGCAATGACTGCAATTTTGGTGATAACATAGTTCCGAGCTAAGGACTGAAATGGGTCCATGAGTTGGGAAATAAACAAAAACAAGAAACAGGTCCATAAATGAAAAGTGACTGGTATTTTTAGAAGGTAAACAAAAAAGTATCCCAGATTAGGCTTGTACTGTGCCAAGTATACCAACCCAAAACACTGTATGTACAAAATGAGCAGTTGTCTTGGTTATTGCATGCATTATTAGACAAAAGCTATACCTTGATATTTTGAATTTCCTTTTGTTCAAGGGCACTTGTCACATTACAACAAAATGCTTTGAGGATTCAACTCTTCTTCACTCGCCATTAAATTAAAAAACAGTAGCTTGCGGCTAGCAGACAAAACTGCTTTAAAAGTTAATCATTTAATTGTAGTGTAATAGTGCCTGGTGGGGAAAAAAACAATTAAATTGCCAAGGTATCGGTTTAAGTACTTACAACAGAAGTTTCAAATTTCAACTTCAGTTTTTTAGGCATCTTTTAGCAGAAAGCAGAGCTCGGTCATGCATCACAGCTTAGTTTGAACAAGCATTCTTTAGGAATCACCCAACAGTATGTGATTTCCAAAGCATTCACAAATCATCATATTCGGTCGAGAGTTGGGGAAGTTCTGTTCAAACAAGCGTACGAGCCATGTAGGCACATATAGGTTTATCTGCAAAGGTGAATCAGTCTCTCCTCTTTTGTGAAGAACTCCGGTTGACTGTTAATGTCCTGTCATGTCATACGGTTAAGCGTGTGAGAAGAGTTTGAAAGAGGAGCATTATTTGGTTGACTTTCCCGCCGCAAAGGCAATGCTGTGCTGTTTCTTCAGGCGTTACAATAATTCCTTCCACAAAAAAAAGTGAATTTTCCAAGAATGTCTGTTTTCTGAACAGTTTCAGTCTTTTGAAGAGTTGTCCCTAAGGCTCTGTCTGCCTTTCTTATGGGCATTTAACGCGGAGAGAGTAAACAGGACACCAAATTCACAGAAGCATGTCTTAGGAAGTGCACATCAGGAGTATAGGCATTCATTTCACAAAAGAGGAATAGAGGAGAGGGGTTAAGAATCAGAGGGAGAGATGGGAGGGAATCCCCATGTTTTAAAGCAACAATACATACATGACGACACATATAACACGTGTGCATTTGCAGAAGGAGAAAGGCTAAAATAAAATCAGGCTCAAATTGTGCAATTTAGCAAAAGAAAGCAATGGGTGATTGTTCAACTAGTTTTTGAGCCATATAAACATCCAAACATTTAACACATATCATTAAAAACATGGATAAATGGATACCCCTACTGAACACACATGAGGATTAAGAAAAGAAGGCAAAATACTGGTTTAGTTTTTAGTCATACAAAACAGATTTAGTCTCTCAGAGCCATTTTATGGTTTAATAAGAGATAAGGTGCCAAATAAGGATCCAGTCCACTATATACACAAGTGGACAAAGTGCATTTTTCTTTGAAAGTTTAGTTTAGGTGCTTCACGTTTGTCTCTTGAATGCAGACTAGGGTCAATTCAATATTTGAAATACTGTTTAACAGTTTTTCTTAAAAGTCAAGGTCAAGACCCAAAAATGATTCACTGGCCTTGTTTTTTATATGAGCAGAAACGCCCAGACCTAAAAACATTGTGTGGTGACAACTTGTTGTTTAACATTTGCATGGGTTAAACTCTGCAATGCATCCCCCACATCTTAAAATGTAGTACATCCATTCAACCCGTCCCAAACCCAACTAGAGTCAAGGGAAAACACTGCGGCAAAATAATTCTATTATCATTTCAGTGGACTGCCTCAGATCATTTAGTTCACACATGGTGCCTCAGACTGTAAACTGTAGCTCACTGCTCAGAAGAAAACACATTCAACGCTGAGACAACAGCCTCATACTGTCTGAATCCCCCTTTAAAAAGGTCATAATAGCACAGGAAGTGTTCTATAAAAAGGTGACATTTGTTTTAAAGCATTATTAACAGTACATACTAAACACATTTTTTCCATCAGATTTCTATGTGTTCTGTTCAAAATCTATAACACTAATGAAAAAAGAAGCTGCTATAAAGGGAAGACTTGGGTAGACACCCTGTGTTTAAAAGCACCGTGGCATTGGCATTCATTCAGCAGTACGGTACTTTGTGTCTTATCGTTTCTGACTTTCAGTGTCATCATCAATCCATGTCGGCTCCAACAACCTGCTGAATCATATCCGGCCCTTGCATTGGACTACACAGGTGCTAGGAAAAAAGGTGCCGTTAGAAGTAAAATCAACCGGTTCCACAAATAGACGTATGCTAGTTTCATTGGGGACATTGCTTAGCAGTGACATCTAGCTGTGATACGCTTTAAAGCACTTTTGTAAACACACAAATGATTCTGGGACATTCATATATCAGTAGATTTAAGTTAGAATTTAGGCCACAGCAGCCTAATTTAGTACATTTATCTCCAATGCTTGCTTCATTTAAGCAGTCAATCATTTAATGAGGGGCAACATTTAAATCCCTCATTTACAACAGTATTCATGATTGCAATGTAAAGATGTGTCTGGATATCCTTTTTTTGATTTCATTTTAAGCTTGAAGATTGCACTTCAATAGCCGCGTTCACACCGGAGTACTTTTCACCGTACTTCTCGCGTTTAGTTCCGTTAGTACCCCTTATGTCGCGTTCACACCAAAAAGAGCACTTAATCTCGGGAACTTTTACCCCCATTTTTAGTGCCTGCTGAGTGATGGTACTTTCCTGGGGGAAAAAAGTGCCCCAGTTCTGATTGGCTGGGCGAATTGCAAACCACGCCCCGTAAAACTCTGAAATGTTTTGTCGAGCCGCCATTTTATTATCCTGGCATTAGCATTATTAGCATTAGCATTCGCCCAGCGCACAAACGCAGAGAGACTAACTTATGGCAACACAAAATAAAACATGGGAGCGGTGGAGATGAGGAGGTGTCGGCGTTCTGGCGATTTACTCGGAAGGCTTCAGTAGAAGCTGCTGGGAGTCCCAGCAGCTTCTACTGACGCCAGTCCCCAACTCCGGGGACTTCCGGCCGGGGACTCCGGGTGGGCAGTATACGCCGTGAAGTTTGTTTGCGGGCCTGCCAGTAAACCCAAAGCAGAAGAAGACGACAGTGACGTCAGCGGCTCATTTGCGTAATCTTCCCTCAGGGAAAAGTACTCCGGTGTGAACGCGATCTGTACTAAATGCCCTGGGGTAATAAGTGCCGGGGCACTGAGTGCCGGCACTAAATACGGCAAAGTACTTGGTGTGAACGCGCCTAGTATTCCTTTTGACAAAATATTGCTTTATAGGCTTCATCAGAGTTTGGTGCACCAGGGTTTGCTAAAACCCTTATTTACCAAGATTCTTAAAATGTTACACATCACTTACAATAGGTAAGATTGAGGGAGAGAGCTAAAGCTAATATTCCACCTGTTAGTCTGATGTAGACATGATGTCAGAAGTAGTTTGAGAATACAGTGAATTCATGCTGCAGATGAGTACAAATGCAAATCAGTGGCAGAAAGACTTTAGCTGAGTGTTCTTCCAGCATTAGCCGCTATTTCTCTCGGGACATTCTGGGATGTTTCAGTCTTCAGAGACTGACAAAGACTTCCTGACGCTGCGGGACGGCTCCCAGACCTCGCTGTCGTCAGTATCGTCCCCGTCATCCTCCTCATCTCCTTCGTCCTGATCCTCATCTCCCCCCCCCTGTGCCAGCTGGCTCCTCGCCGGCTGTTGACGCCTCCCCCTGCACCCGCCCCTCCTCTGCGGCTGCGTCTCCTCCGGTGCTCCCTGCAGCCGCCTCCAGGAAGGGATCCTCCCCCGTCTCCAAGCGCCGCTGAACCTCGGCGAACCACTCCCTCACCTTTTGAAGGAGAGAGAAAAGCATTAACTGGGTGAGGACAGCAGACTGTTAGCACCTTTAAGGAAACAGAGATCAAGTCTTCTTTGTCCTCTGTAAACATTTTACCTGATGAGGAGCTGAAGACTAAAATGATGTTAATAAAACAAAAGCAAATCATCAGCTACATTTTTAAGGGTATTTCTTTCATTTAAATCTGGATCTTTCAGAGAATATAGTCAATGAGACTTTTAACTGCTGGGTTCCAATGATTGAACAATCATTTTGCATTTTAATACTAGAAAAAACATAGGAATTAACAATGGTATACACATTTAGTACTCTCCACCAGAGTAACATATCTGGCAGTTAAAGGTCCCCTATTATACTGTTTTTCATCAATATATTATAGGTCTCAGATATATACAAAACATGTCTCTGAAGTGTTTGGCTCCAAACACCAAACAGATCATTGCAGCATCCCATAATCCCCTCTGTTTCAGCCCTGTTCCAAAAGTGCTGTTTCTGTGTCTGTTACTTTAGAGGAAAATAAGGAGCCACTCCCCACGCCCCTCTGAGAGAGATTTGGTTAAAAAGAACACAATGGTGCTCTAGAGGAGATTTAGGTGATAAGGTGTGGGGGGGTGTTACCTTGGTTGGTGATTGGCTAATGGCTACACAAGCCAAAAAATCGTTATGACATCATAAAGTGGCCAAAATCTGATCATCAAAAAGAGAGAGAATCTTTTTTCCTGAAACTTTCAGAATCTCTTTAGGCAGAGGGGACACATATTTATGTAAAAAATACATGAAAAAGTGGATTTTGCATAATAGGTGACCTTTAAGACAACACTTATGCTGCGTTCACACCGGACGCGATGCGATTTTTGGGGGCGGCGCGATTACATGTAAAGTCAATGCAGAGACGCGGACAGACGCAAATTCGCTCCGACAGCGTCTGTTTTGAATGACGCGATAAAACCAACTGCAAGCCGCGGTGAAACTTGAGCGATTGGAGCGATGCGAATATTCGCATCGCGTCCGGTGTGAACGCAGCATTAGGCTTACCTTTTGACGGCTTATGCACAAAAATAACAGTTACAGTAAATATATTTAAATGGTTAATTAAATATATTTAAATCTCCCATCAGGAAAAACACACGGACACTAAGACACACACACCTGTTCGTAGCTCATGTTGGTTTTGCCGACGAGCTCATCCAGATCTTGCTCATTGAGGAAGCGGTGCCTCATGTAGTACTCCTTCAGAATCTCCCGCCCACTCATGACTTTCTTGGCGGGGAGGCATCTGTCGACATCTGTACTGGAGGAAGCGGACCTTCTAGGCTGCTTCCTGGTTCTGGACCGCCCCCAACCACGGTTTCTGCCGCGTCTCTTCCGACCGGTGCCGCTGCCGCCTCCCATTTTATTGCTTCCTCCACCGTTCGGCCCTTCAGCGTTGCCACTTTGGTACTGGAAGAACCATTTCAGGTTGCTGTTCTTCCACGAGTATCGAGAGTCTCCGAACCAGCTGACGATGTAGGAGCGAGGGAGGCCGCTCTCCTCTGCCAGCTGCTCGTACTCCTCTGGGCTGGGCCACTGGGTCCGCACAAAGGCACTTTTCAGAATGTGGAGCTGCTCTGGAGTCTTTTTATTCTTATCTTTCATGTCTCTGTTGCTGCTGGTGGGCAGCTGCTTACTGCGGCCGCCGGGAGGAGTTTGACTACCTCTACGGGACGAGGAGGCAGAAGGAGAAGAAGAACTGGCTCCTGCTCCTCCTTCTCCAGCCTCCATCTTTCCTCCCTCTGAAGAAGACGGGGAGGAAGTGCTAACAGACGGTATTTTTCTTCTCTCGGTGAACCAGGCATCAATCTCCCTCCGGGTCAGTTTAGTCTCTGTCCTCAGGCGGCTCAGTTCATCATCTGATGGGGTGCTGCTTTTATCAATACTTTCCTCCAGCACCACCAGCTGCTCAGGAGTTTTCTCCTTAAATTTCTGTAGGGTAAAATCCGGGAATGGGTTCCAAGTTTTTGGCCGTGTCTCCTTCTCCTTCACAGGCGGAGTTCTCGGAGGGTGGGGGGATGTGGGGGTGGTCTCGTCGCTTGAGTCGATAACGATGGTGGTACTGGCACTGCTACAGCTCCCTGTGCCTCCATCATGGAAAACAATGACATTGCTGTTCTTGGAGTTGCGCTGGTTGTACCTGGTGTCGCTGAACCACTTCTTGATCTCTCCCTTTGTGAGATTGGTAAGCTTCATCAGTCGGGAAATTTCCGCATCTGTGACAAAGTGGTTCTTCAGGTAGCTGGCTTTTAGCTCGGCCAGCTGCTCTTTGGACTTCTTGGGACGCAAATTGAATGTGTCTGCACTGAGGGCCGAGTTCTCCTTAGAAAGGGAAGGGGAGATTTATAATTTTAGACAAGGGTTGCTACAGTGCCACACAGAGGTAGCAAATACCTAGTAGACTGCTATTGCTCTGTGCACCTTTTTTAAAGTTCAGACAATCATTACATACAACTGATTAAGACCCCTTGTTGTACATATCTTCCATTAACTCAGGTCATAAAATATAAACTTCGCAAACAAGACAACAGCTGTCCCCACCTGCGGAGAGAGAGAGGGAGGCTGGACAGTGGTAGCCCGTTTCAGCTCACTGTTTGTCAGGGTGGGGTGGCAGGAAACCCTGCTGGAGCTCTGGGACTGGCTGGGCAGCCCTGCCACCGTCAGAGTTATGGGACTGGTCACTGGAAGGTGCCCCCCTGGGCCCACCTACACAGAGTCACATGATAATGACACTAACACTTAAATAACAGCCCTGAAATGATCTTGTGTCACTGCAAAAACATGCCCTCTCTTCTCAAGTATCCTTTTTAAGATATCAGTCAGAGCTAAGTATATACAGAGTATTGTTTCGATTAGCTACTGCAATATCATTGATTGTAAATTAGAGAGACTCGTCAAAAAGCTGGAGCTATTTCTTACCAGTGGATCTAAAATATTTTATGACCTGGTAACAAAAGGTTTTCATTTACTTTTTAACCGTTTTATGATGCACATAATAGTGAATTGAGTGTAGAGTCAAATCAAAGTTGCTTCTTAACCCGGCATCGGTTACTTGGTTGGGTCTGAGAAATAGTGTTAAAATATTCGTATTTTTTAACTAAAATGTCGACAGTTAGCTATTGGGGTTATATTAGGGTTGCTACACATTGTCCCACAATGCATTGCTGCCACCGAAAATCATATCCGGGGCGAGGAAAACTATTTTTTTACTTATAATAGTTACTAATAGTCAGCTAAACACAACAATAGGAGTTACTGATCTGTGAATGTCTATTAAACTCAAGCCCACATAATTCCCCCATTTAAATAATACATTAATGTAATGGAAATAAGATCTCTAGCCGCGTCCTGTTAGATATGGCGTCTTTTCTTTCCTTACCTACCTGTGTGAACACCAGGCCATGCTGGCCCACTATCTGGCAGGTCTGTAAGATGGACTGCAGGCCGTTGGCAGCTGCTGAGAGCTGGTGAGCAGGTATCACAGTGATGGTCTGCGGCACCGTGTGCACCGTGCCGTTAAACTGCTTCCTCCTGGCCTCCTCCACTTCCTCTGGGGTCCAGCTCACACCATGCTTCAGCCGCTGGGCTGAGAACCAAACCTGGGTGATATAAAAGAATATTTATTAACTCCACCATATACAAAACAAGCAAAGGCTATATTTAGTATACTTTTAACTTAACATTCCATCAGACTATTAATTAAAATCAAGGAGTTAGTTTTCACATTTGATATGCAATTATAACTCTAATAGCTGATTATTTGCAGTTAACACTACAGTAGAACATTTTAAAGACATTCAAACTTGTATTTAAGACCTTGTTATGCTTAACAGTTTTAGACAATTGAATATAAAACTTTTAACAGACTTGCAATACCAAATAATAACAGGAAAAGCAGGTAAAAACAACACCAAAACAATAGCTAACTTTCACCTACCTTGATCTGCTCCTCAGTGAACTGTGTCTGCGCTGCCAGGCGGCTGATCTCGGCCATGGAGGGGTACGGAAACCTCTTGTACGTGCTGCCCAGCAGGGGGTTGGTGTCCATAGCTGCACTGTAGGAGGGGATGCTGCTGAGGGGGATGAGCAGCTGAGGCTGAGCTGCTGCTGCTGCCGCTGCACTCTGCTGGGCCTGGAAGGCAGAAAGCACCTGCAATAAAGGGAAAGAAAGGGACGGGGTATAAGAAAGGTCTGCAATGACACACTGCTCCAGCTCTGTTTGGTAAAGATGCTGTCTTTCCATAGTGTCTCTGAACAAGACAATGTAAATATATCAGATGCAGGGCTGCTGCTCTGTAGCTTGAGTAGAACCTCTCTGTTGAGGGTATTTACCATTACAGAGCAGGGCTTCACTCTTACATTTTAATGATGTCATGTGAATAATGTTTACAAATGTATCACTCTCTCTTATATTGCAGACCTACCACAATTACAATATCAGTCAATATAAGCGCACCTAGATTTGTTTGCCTAATCGTGCTGTCCTAATACAGACACCGATTATCCAAAGTCTAGCTAAAGTTTTACGGTGTGCAAGCTTACACACTAAGGGGTCAATCTTACATCCATGCTGCTGCTATGAATTTTTATACCATTGTACAATCATGAATCACCTGTGCCAGGCCTGCAGGCAGGACTGCAGGGTTGAAAGCCGCTGATTTCCTCTGCTGCTCAGAGTACGGGCTGACCAGCAAGCCGCCCCCCCCGAGCTTCATGGAGTCGTGCAGCAGCATCTCCACAGGCGTCATCGGGCCCAGGGGGGCTTCGATGGGCTCCTGGTCTCCTCCCCTCACATCCCCCTCGCCCCCCCCGAAACCCTCCAACGCCTCCTCTGTAAATTTCAGGGACACAGAGATCCTCTTGGGTTCAGATTTGCTTTTCATCCTCATGATGGGGGTCTTGCTGAGGGAAATGGCGGCGACCGTGGCGGGGTCTGCCCCTCCCTCCTCGGGTGTCTCGCACTGTTGTTCCTGTGCCTGCTGGTCGCTGCTGGGATCCTCAGGAGGGTCTGTAGCGCTGCGCTTCAGTGAGGGAGCGAGGGCTTCACTGTCTTCTACAGTAGAGACACTGGGCTCCTCTATAATAATAATCATATTAATACCACATTTATGGACGAAGTTTGTGTATATTTCAGGCCAACAGTGTCATTAGGCCTTGTTTAAAGGTCTCCTATTATACTATTTTTAGGCATATATTATAGGTAAAAAACATGCCAATAGGCGCTTTCACACTACTTTTCCCCGTACTTTTCCCTTTTAGTTTCGATAGTTCCTGGGATTTTGTGTTCACACCAAAAAGAGAACTTAGTTCATGAGAACTTTTCCCCCCTTTTCAGTCCCAGCTAGAGAGCAGGTACTTTCCTGGGGAGAAAAAAGTTCCAATTTCTGATTGGCTGGGCGAATTGCAAACCACGCCCCTTAAAACTCTGAAAAGTTTTGTGAAGCCGCCATTGTATTTGCTGGCATTAGCATTATTAGCATTAGCATTAGCCCAGCGCACCAACGGTGAGAGACTATCTTATGGCAACACAAAAAGAAACATGGGAGCAGTGGAGTGATGAGGAGGTGTCGGCGTTCTGGCGATTTACTCGGAAGGCTTCAGTAGAAGCTGCTGGGAGTCTTCCCAGCAGCTTCTACTGAAGCCAGTCCCCAACTCCGGGGACTTCCGGCCGGGGACTTCGGGTGGCAGTATACGCCGTGAAGTTGTTTGCGGCCTGCCAGTAAACCCAAAGCAGAAGAAGAAGTGACGTCAGCGGCTCATTTGCCTAATCCTCCCTCAGGGACTTATTCCGGTGTGAACGCGATCTGCTCTTTAGTTCCATTGGGGAACTAAGTGCTGGGAACTAAGTACAGCAAAGTACTTGGTGTGAAAGCAGCTTATGAAGTGTTTTGCTCAAAATACTAAACAGATCATCCATTCTAGCCATGCATCATACCCCTCTATTTCAGCCCTTTTAGAGAAGTGCTTATTCTGGGTCTTTAGCTTTTATTAAAAAAAAACGAGAGCTGAGACGAGAGCTCATGCAGGAGAATTTTACCCAGATACTTAGCTAAAAGCTGCCGTGATTAAACGCCATATAATTTTCCAAACCACATCAAGGATTATTTCTGAAACAGTATGGAGCTCAAATGCTTTTTCTCTCACAGGTTTACCACAAGGCGAGTACCTTTTTATATCCTGCTTCTTTGCACATACTCTCTCCAGTACAGGTTAGCACTGACTGAGTGTTAGCGATGCTCAACATTTCTGATAGGGCCGTGGGCGTAAACCCAGCCCACATTTCCGATATTATGTCATATCGGCAGCAAATCTGGATCAGCTCCGTTTTTCACTTTGTGAGTCTACTGACACACCTGGGACACATATTTATGTATAAAAGACATCAAAAAGTGCATTTTGCATGACAGGAGACCTCAAAGAAGATGTATATTATTAAAACCCACATAAGCAGTTCGGCCATTATTATTATTTTTACATGTATTTGTTTTTGAGGAAATTAATGCACATTTAAGTGCTGAAATGTTTGCGCAAAATATTGGTTATTGTTTGTTTTGTTTTTTCAGATGAATAATAGAGGTTTTAGATCACATGATGATATTAAATTATATTCATTTTGATATTATTTTTATTTAAAAATAATAATAATAATCCACATCGTGAATCTGCTGTAGGTTTCTTTATGATTTAAGTAAAAAGGTTGAAAGATATTGGTGAATGAGGAATACTGTTTTCTACACATGGGAAATGGGATTTTTACCTGTAGTGGGAGGAGTGGGAACAACCACTACTGCCTGACTCAGCTCTTCTGCAGTCGGACCCTCCTCTGCTCCCTCTTTCCCCTCCTCCTCCTCCTCCTCCTCCTCCTCCTCCTCCTCCTTCTCCTCCTCCTCCTCCTCCTCCTCTGTCTCTTCCTCCGTTGCCCTTTCGGTTATCTCCTCCACCTCTTCCTGCTCCACCACATCAGAGGGCAGCACCATGCAAGGTGTGGTCGATTTCCGGCGGCTCGACATCGTCAGACCAAACTCTGTTAACTTCTACTCAGGGTCACCAAGATCTTGGACAGAAGGGTTGAGGCTTACATGTCTTGGGGGGCTGGTTTCACATGCTAGAGTCTTTAAATTATGTATTTCTGGAGGAACAAACATAAGAAATAGCAAATGTCATCGAGGGATTTCTCACAAAAAGAGTAAATGTTATAAAAAATGCATTTAACATTTCAAATACATCTTTTGTATTTATTTTATACATATTTTTATATATATATATTTGTATTTTGTTTTCCTCGGGATTGTGGGAAAGTTGAATTTGACTTGACTTTAACTTTTGCCTGTTGGTCTCCTTCAAATTGTAAGTTATTTAAAGCAAAGCAGATACACAACTGTGAGGAGGGAGTCGTTTTTTCTGTTTCCTATCAATATAAACTGAATACCTTAAGGATTTAGTGCAAATTAAGCAATTTGAAGCTCTCATTCTTTATGTCAATATAATGGCCATTGTTTTTTTCAAACAATTTCTTCACAAAATAACCATTAGATATATCAGGAGTTAGTTACAACCCTAATTATAACCCTGATATATTAAGACTTCATCTTCAGGAAGGCATTCATTTGCAACTCTTTCATGATTGGCTAGTTTTGAACTAGTCAGTAATATCCCAATACAAAATGCTTCCACATTCCAAGACAGTAGTAGATTGTCACCAAAACCTTCATTCATTCATGCCTTTTTCCACCAAATGATATTATACACTAATACAATATAATTATAAACTGTGTTGTAGTGTATCACAGGGTAAACCCACATCAAGTCAGCTTATTGGTCATGCAACAGTACCAGGGCCCGAATTATATCACCAGAAAAAAATAAGCAATACAAGGATGTGATTTACATTTGCTTAACTACACATTTGCTAAACATTGCCAAGTTACTGTAAATAATTGATTTCGGTTTCCTTTTGTCTTGGCGATGTGATAAAGGTGTTATTGCAATGTCAACTTCTAAGACCCCACAGCAGCAAAATGCCTGGGAGATGATTTATTTCTGGTGGTCTGTTGAATAGAATGCAGTGTTAACAATAACGCTAATACAATGCGCCACGCTGCACTGCCATCATTTGCATTAAGTTAGCACAGTACTAACACTTTGGAGGTGTGAGCTTGCTAATGCGTAATTATTAAAGTATTGTTAATACACTAACATAAAAGGACATGTAATTTAGCTCTACATCATCTGGCGTCCATACGAGGTGGGCCAACTAGCCGGTGTTAGCTCGGGCAGTCATTATTATTGATCACGTCTCGCGGTAAACTTACTGCAACTACTGAAATGTGCGCTGTGTTGATACCAGTCTGCCGAGGTGAGGAGTGATTTCCTGGGTCTCCGCGGGTACCTTCTGTCCGGTGGTGTGTCTCCTTCCCCCGGCTAACCATTCAGCCCCAGCCTGGCCGGGACTACAGGAGCTAGCGTTAACGTTGTTGGGCTTGCGGGTCTCCGAACCCCAGCGGTGGGAGGCAGACAGGCGGACCGGTCTAACGGCTGCAGATGCTGGAAACACCGGACATCTCTCTCCTCGGCTGTCTATCTTGTGCCCGGGTCGCGCCTCGGTGAAAGTTAGATCATCATAAACACGGCGGGGACACACTCTGAGCTTGGCCGTTGGTATTGTGTTAGTTTGGTGACCTAATTCTCAGATATTTTTTAACGGCAGATTTTTTTAATGATCAAACGGCGTCATCATTCAATGTGATACGTCCTGACGTCATTCCTCGGCGACTCTCGCAGTTTACAATTTCGGAAACATGGCAAAATTGTACAATTGTACGCCTAGTATATACTATTTATGAGGTGAATGTAGCTTTGCGCTTTCCAGAAAAAATTATAATACGCAATTTAAAGCAGGACGGTTAACTCATTCGTTTCCCGACCCGGCTGTCCTCACATGACCCGTCAGGGCAGCACGACAAGCTACTTGAGGACACTGACATTGCCAAGCATCTCAAAACAACCCAAAGACTTATTATATATTAATGCCTCGGCAAAAATAAAATGCAATTGATGCTGGTCGGGTTTGTAGGTACATTATTTACCAAACATTTAAAATGTTCTTGTAAAAAAACAAACATGTAAATATAAACTGAGGGAGATGAACAAAAGCAGAAGATACCTTTCCATTACTAGGATGTAAATTAAACAACGTCTGTAAAAATGAAAGAGGATACACAGAAATACAGAAAAAACGTCAGGAAAGCATGTAGTGTATGCGCTGAAAAACACTGGGATTTATACACAAATAGACAACTTGTTTATTAGTCAGTAACTAGTGAGATTTTGTTTACAATAGTCTGGAACAATTTAGTATTTTTGTTTAGTTTTTTAAACTTAAAGAAATCCTACGCTTCACATAATGTGAATAATTAGTATCTTTGGTTTGACCCTCCATTTATAAAATGGTAAAAATGTGTGGTCCCTGTGCACAAGACAACTCAAGAGTTGTTTCCAGAAAACAATCATATTGCCTTACACACCATAATGGCCAGGTGGATTAGGATTTGGGGACAATAAGTAAAAAGACAAACTACAACATCTGGAGAAAACATTAAATTAAATATAAAAAAAACGTAGTACGAAGATTAGGCTAATGCACAAATATAAGTGCTTGTATAATTCTATGAAAATAGAACCTATGTATATTTACATAGCTAAGAGGGTGTGTGTGTTATTTAAAAAAAGAGGTCGTATTCTTCCTGTAGAGAAGTCAACAGAAGTCTGCAATCTCTCGTTCCAACTCCTGTTCAAAATGAGAAAGCAGGATTAGAAAAATATTAGAACCATTAAAAGTATGTAAGGCAAGAAAAATACATACGTATTTGCATGATGTGAAATAATAACTTCATAAATTACAGTGGTCAAATTTGATCTTAAGGGTAGAAGTAAATGTGTTTGCACTAGTCTTACTGTAGATAGCCATTTAAAACATACACAACTAGGGTATCAAAAGCCGCCTTTAATGCACTTTTGTTGCTATGACAGACCAAGATCAGTGTCAGTATCACAGTATTCGTTATCAGTATGGTCCAAAACTAACCTGTATTAGTAATGTTTTGTTGTAGTCGCGTCTGTGTCTGTAGATGCTTTGGCAGAGCAGAGCATAGAGTTTCTCCAGCTTGTAGACCTCGTAGCTTTCAGTCTTGGTCACTACTCTCTCCAACAGCTCCTGAAGAAATGAGTGGAAAAGGCAAAAGAAAAAGGGAATGAAATGCAGATTACATTTTAGTTGACAAACTTCATAAACTTCTATGGAAAAAAGGCAGAAGAGTACAGGATAAGGGAAAGTTAGCTTTATTTCATCATCTGTTTCTAAGGTTGCCTGTTAAGTCATGATGCAAAAAACCTGTCTGACCAGAAACTATAAAAAGACTGAAGACAAAAATATTCTGCCAGCCGCAATATCTCACACACCTTTAATCCGTCTCTGTCCACCACCAAAGGAGGAGTTTCCTGTTCAAGGATCTGCAGGGCTTTGTCCACATCGGCTTTCTGCTGCTGCAGCACAGCGTTCTTAAGAGCCCGTTTTACAGGCCTTACGCTCCGTTCTAAAAAACATACAAACAATATAATAGATGGCAATCTGCTGACACAATCAAGCTAAAACACTGATCTTGCACTTACTATAGTATCTCTAGAAACACTACACAAACTTCTGATAAGCATGTCTTTTAGTATATTCTTAAAGCCTGAAGTTGAAGAGCTGAGCTTTAAGTGTAGTATCAAACCTTTGTCTGTGTCCTCCTCTCCTCTGTGAGCTGCAGAGACGTCTGTGGTTGAGGTATTTGCTGCTTCCTCCTCCATTGGTTCAGCAGGGCAGTTCTGCTCTGCCTCCTCTGCAGTAACTACCTTGTTACTGTCGTCTGTCTGCGTTACAGCTCGACATTTTTCGGTCCTTGTTTCGGTCAGCTCTTGGCCTTTAGTTTCAGCCCCCTCCTCTGTGTTGGATGGCCCCTGGGTATCTCCTTCTGTCACAGTGTGGCTGTCCTTGTTAGTGTTGACTGGAATGCTTTCACTGGTCCGATTTCCTCCCTTTAAGACTTTGTTTTCCTCAGACTGTCCCGATTGATCTTTATCCACACTTTCTTTTTCAATCTGGTCGTCATCTTCTGGTTTCCCTGATCCACACAGGATAACCTTATCCTCAGCAGCCGGACTCTTCTCCTCTCTTCCCTGCTGACTGTCCTCCTCATTCTCAGTAGGCCCTAAACTACCTTCCTGGGCTGGTGCAGGCCCTGACTCTCCATCCACCATCATGGGATCCTCATCTCCTTCAGTCCTTTTCTCACACTCAGCTGCTCCTCTCTTCTCAACCTCCTCTTCCTCATCGTCTCCATCTTCCTCCTCAGACTCTAAGTGTGCATCGTCTCTGGATGTGTGAGGAGAGCAGGACGATTTTTTCTTTGCTAGAAAGCCGGAGGACCAGCGACTTTTCCGCCTTCTCTTCTTTTGGGCTGTGGAAACAATTTCAGGGGGGGGTAAAGATTTTTTGTGATAATTCTTTGAATTAAATAATGTCTAAACTTTGTATAACACCCCACAACCCCCCCCCCCCCCCCCCCCCCCTCTTGCTAGCAGAGTACTCACTTTTTAAGTTTCTTTACTTCCTTTTGTTCTTTTGTCTAAACCATAGTACATTTTCCCTATAAATAACCCTAAACAATTTGTACATATTGAAATCAAACATTCCCATCTGGATGAGTTTTTTACAGTGATTTTTACCTGTATGTTTAGGGGTTGTAACAAAGGAGGCACTTGTATTGGGATAGGCAGCAGCTGTGGATTGAGCCGGTTCACTTTGAGGGGTCTTTTCAGTGGTTTTGGCCTCAGCAGGAGATTTGGACAGTTTGGGAAGAACGTTGTAGAAAGAGGGAGCAAACTGGACAGTGGTGCAACCTGTTGTAGTGAAAAAAGAAATAAGCACAATGTTTTTCTGTCTTTCTTCACCTTAGTGGAAAAAAATTCATTCTGAAAATGAGTAGGGGACCTAAAACTGAATATAGACTTTAAATTGAGCAGAGTCAGTGTTTAGGTAACTAAAATGACCATACTGGTTAATATTTTGAATCTGGACTCACA